AAAGCGTCAAGTGAAGCCGCACAACGCCCCCTCACAACACACCATCATGCGGCTATCACTACAGCCACTGCTCCTACTGGGGCTCTCGTCCCTCGGCGCAGCCGTGTTCCAGGATGAGGTCGGCCACATCGATTTCCACCACGCGCTCGTCGGCGTCCCCCAGGTCGAGACCACCTTCTTCCACCGGCCGAGAAAGCAGGACAAGGCGAGCCTGCTCTACACACTTAGCGACCTTGGCGTTGTCGGCGCTGTGAATCCTAGTAATGGCGCGCTCGTCTGGCGACAGCAGATCTCGGATGATATCTCCAATGGCGGCGGCTTCTTGCGCGCTGCTGAGGGGGAGCACTGGGTTGCTGCTGCACACGGCGCGCGCGTCCAGGCTTGGGATGCTTTGACGGGCCGCAATGTCTGGCACAACGAATTCAAGGGCGAGGTCAAGGATCTGGAGATTCTGGAGTTGACTGAGAGCTCAAGAAAGGATGTCCTGGTCCTGTTTGAGGAGGAGGGTTCGACGGTTCTGCGACGTATACACGGCACCCTCGGCCAGGTCGTCTGGGAGTTCCGCGAGGTGGCCAAGAACATCCCTCTTCAGGTTTCCACCGACATCTCCAAGATCTACGTCGTCAGCCTCCACGGATCCCCCTCGTCCTACAGCCTCAAGGTCACCGCTCTCGATACCGTGTCTGGAACGCGCGTGGACGACCTGTCGATTGGAACCAAGGGCGATGTCCACGGACCCAAGGACGTCATGTTTGTTGGTGGCAACTCGGCGGCGCCCATCCTCGCGTGGACTGATGCCAACCTGTCCAAACTCAAGGTCAACGTTCTGGGCAGCAAGACGACTCAGGAGCTCAAGCTCCCCGCTGAGGCCGTCTCTGTCACAATCCATGCCCCGCATCTTGTTCAGTCGCAGCCTCACTTCCTCGTTCATACTCGAACCAAGACGGGCAACAAGGCTGAGGTTTATCACACCAACTTGAAGAGCAACCAGGTCTCCAAGGCTTACGAGCTGCCTCACCTGTCTGGCCTCGGCGCCATCTCGACCAGCTCTGAGGGAGCCAACGTCTACTTTGCTCGTATCACTGAGGATGAGACTCTGGTTGTGTCTTCTGAGTCGCATGCTGTTCTTGCCCGCTGGCCCACCAAGCCTGCTGGTGCCATTGAGGCCGTCCACGCTGTCGCTGAAGTCCTCAAGAAGCCCGGCGGTGAAGGATTCGCTGTCCGAGCTGCTGCCCTTACCAAGTCGGAGGATTGGGTCCTTGTGCGCAATGGCGAGGTTGCATGGAAGCGCCCTGAAGGCCTCAGTGCTGCTGTTGCCGCTGTATGGGCCGATGTTCCTGGCAGCGAGAACCTCGCCAAGGTCCTTGAGCAGGAGGCTCACACCAACCCTATCGAGGCCTACATTCACCGCGTCACCCGCCACATCAACGACCTTCAATACCTCCCTGACTACCTGGCTTCTCTCCCTGAGCGCTTCATCACTAGCATTTTCGGTGGTGAGCCCGTTAGTAAGAAGGAGGGCCTTCACCGGGATACCTTTGGCTTCAACAAGCTCGTCGTCCTTGCCACTCGACGTGGTCGCATGTATGGACTCAGCACTGAGCATAACGGCCAGATTGTCTGGTCCAAGTCTGTTCTTCCTCAGCTCCCTGGCGAGACTCTGGACGTCAAGGGTATCTACGCCAAGGATGAGGGTGTTGTCACTCTTCGTGGAGCCAAGGGCGAGTACGTTGCTATCAAGAGCGACACTGGTGATGTTGTCGAGGTGATGCCCCCTGGATCGCTGCCTCCTGTGTCCAGCACCGTCGTCGTCGACAGCTCATCTGGCAAGTGGCTGCTCCCCATTGGTGTCAATGGTGAGGCCGGACCTATTCCTGCTGGCTGGACTCCTGATCAGACCATTGTCATCCGAGGCGAGGGAGATGTCCTCAAGGGCGTCAAGTTTGTCGAGGAGAACAACAAGGTTTCTGAGGAGGAAGTTTGGCAACTTCAGCTCTTCCCTGGAGACACCATTGTTGATATTGCCAAGCCTTCGACCCACGACCCTGTGGCATCTATTGGTCGCGTCCTGGCGGACCGTCGCGTCAGCTACAAGTACCTCAACCCCAACACGATCGTGGTGGCTGCCGCCAATAAGGCTGAATCCACCCTGTCAGTTCAGCTGGTTGATACCGTTTCGGGTCAGGTTCTGGCCTCCTCATCGTATGCGGGCGTCGACTCGACTAAGCCCATCTCTTGCACCATGGCTGAGAACTGGTATGCATGCACCTTTTTCGGGCAGCATACTCTCGAAGATGGCACCAAGCGATCCATCAAGGGATACCAGATCGTTGTTTCTGATCTCTACGAGTCATCCGCGCCTAACGACCGTGGTCCTCTTGGCGATGCTGTTAACTTTTCATCGCTTAAGCCCGTGGACACGCCGAGTGGACCTCCTCTGCCTTGGGTTGAGGAGCAGGCTTATGTTCTCTCTCAGCCCCTCAACTCTCTTGCTGTTACACAGACTCGACAGGGTATTGCTAACCGTCAGGTTCTGGGTTACCTTCCCGAGTCTCACGGCATCGTCGGTCTGTCTCGTCAGATCCTCGATCCCCGACGACCCGTTGGCCGAGACTCGACCCCAGCTGAGAAGGAGGCTGAGGGTCTCATCAAATACACCCCGGGCATCGAGATCGACCCTAAGTCGGTGGTCTCGCACCAGCGAAACGTGCTGGGCGTCAAGGGCATCGTTGCATCGCCAGCCATCGTGGAGAGCACGAGTCTGGTGGTGGCTTATGGCTTGGACGTGTTTGGCACTCGGGTTGCGCCGAGCGGAGTGTTTGATATTCTTGGAAACGGCTTCAACAAGGCGACACTGGTGACAACCGTGGTGGCGCTGCTGGGCGGCGTTTTGTTTCTGTCACCAATGGTAAGTGACCCTACTCTTTTGACTTGCCGCGACATCCGCTTGCGTAGACGACGGCTGGCTGACACTAGATTCTGCAGGTACGGAGAAAGCAAATCAACCGGAGATGGGAGGGAATGTAGAGAGAAAGAAGGAGATGGATGGATGTCAGACAGACGCGGGAGTTAATCACTAGACTCGGCCGATGCGGAACCAATGAGGGAGGTACATTGGCGTGTGGGCTGTAAATGGAAACGAGTTTTTTGCTTTTAGGTTCAACTGATTTAACGGCATGCCCTGAAGCTATTGGACGGTTTCACTCGTGATATTCCCGTGTTTGGCTTTTTGGAGTCAGCCTCACGATGCTACGGTTCCAATGAAGAATGGGTGTTGAGGACCCTTGAGGATTCTCCCGTGAGCAGCCACGTACTGTACCTAATGCTAGAGGGCGTCTCGGGCAGAGCGGGTGGGAAAGGTTGGGACCCTCCGCCGATGAACGGAGCAAAGACGGGCTTGGCGCCACGGCGGTGTGGGGCTGCAAAGGCCGTGTAGCACGGGGAGGCTGTTCTGCCTAGGTATGAGACAAGGTAGATGATCATGTTACTGTTACTTGCTGTGAATGAAATGGCTGACAACTGGCTGGTGTCACAGCATAGACCGGACTGCGACCTCGTGTTGCTCTGCAGACTGCAAGCCTCCCCATAGGTTGATCGGACAATGACTGACAGACACTTGATGCCATCGGCACTCATGCACCGATCGGACGAGCCCCAGGTTTTGAGAAAGACGATAGGTTCCTCCTCTTTTCGGGCCTGTCAGCAGGCACATAATGCACCCCGTCTTTTGAGTACACACCCTATAATAGCCTAGCCTAGCCGAGGCTTTTTGACACTTTGAATAAGATGATGCCATCGTGCAGGCTTGCTAATGTCGGGCGACGACCCGTGAGGACTTGACAATGTCCGTATTCTTGCTTCCTTCTTTTTCAGCTCGTGTTTAGTTAATGCGAGGCTTGAATGAGAATTTGAACAATTACGAGATGAACGTAGCCTAACAAGGCAAAAACACCAACAAACACTCCAATCACAGACCCATAAAACGTTGTACTTCTACATCTTCCAATGAAGCTGTAGTAAGAAAGCCCAATAAGCAAGCAGAGAAAAGCCAGTCAGCACAAAAGTTACTTGCGTTTCTGGAAAACTCGGACCCTCGGGGGCGTTTTGTTCAAAAAAACACGAGCGGGGGGCTTGAATCTTTTGACGAATAAGCGATGAGGTTGAGTGAGGGTGTGGTGATGGATGTCTTGCGGGGGGATAAGACGGCACACTTTGACGATGGTCTAGTATCGTCTACCTGGTTATTTTTAGCTAGAGTATTGTATTGAAGGATGTGAGCGCTGGATGGATGTCTTTTTGGTATGGGCGAGAGAATTATGTTACATTGCTGTATGCGTGAGATACTTCAACGCTTTCATGCTTGATCGACTGTTTCCTTTGTATCACAGCTGCAAGCAAGGAAGATGCGTATCACTCGGGTCATACAGAAGAGTAAGCAAAAATCCTCCGGTAGGACTTTGTCCCCGTTTAATTACCTCTGTAACAAGAGCGTAGGGCTGGTCTCATCCCTTGTACCTTGCACTGCTCGAGCTGTAGAGCTTCATATGACTAGGATAGGACTAGCTGTACACTGTATGCCCTCTGCATTGGCGAATACGGGGTGATGACCACTTACTGGCCCAGAAACCAAATCATGATATTCCTTCCAGTTACCTGTAAACCGAGACAACCACAAGACATCGTATTCCGATGCCCAAGCTCTGCTGATCACCCGTCCCCTCTTCCGGGTGCAGTGGCTTACATGTCTCTCGGCATTAGGACCGCCTTTTCACGGGGCGGAATAGCCTCAGGCCTGGGGGGAGGGGGAGGGGGAAAGCTGCTTCGCCTCCACACCATCTTGGGAAGGGAAAGCCTTGTCAGCTCGTGTTCTTCTTTTACTTTCGGGTATTGAAGATCTAGAGAGTAAGAATAGTAACGTATGTATCTGGAAAAAAAAAAGTATATAAACTCATCGTCTCTCCCTGCAAGTCCAATACTTCTTATCCTCATCCTCATCAACAACTCAAGCAAAGCAACCTCTCGCTCAAACAAAACACTCGCTTTTCACCTTGAACCACCTTCTTCTACAAAAACAAAACCGTCATCATGAAGGTCACCGCCGTCTTCGTTACCGCTCTCGCCACCCTCGGCGCTGCCTCTCCCGCCAAGGGCTGCACTCCCGGAACCTACTCTTGCACTGGCGACCTCAAGGGCTGGCAGGTCTGCGATGTCACCCGCAACTGGGTCGTAAGTCCAATCTCCTACTTCTCACAAGACAAGATACTGACATCTTCTCTAGTTCGCTGGCATCTGCCCTCCCAAGACCGGCTGCGTCTTCTACAAGCCCAGCAACAGCCCCTACTGCGTTCCCCCAGGCTTCAAGTTCCCCCAGAACTAGACGCGCCCACTCTTAAGACGAGGATAGCCATTGGAGCTGCAGTCTCCTCGAAATTGTCTCCCCTATCCTGATCGTCAAGATGGAAACTGAATCGTTTGGGTATGGGTTTGGGTTCTGGTACATGATTTACTTGCTTCATGCTTGCATGAGTTACGATCCTTTTTATGTGCTTAATTCGATATATGGAACATACACATACATGAGACTGGGGCTTCAAGTCGGATTAGATAGGTAGCATAGCGTCCGCAAATCTACCACAGTACCCCATGCCTTGTTCAACTCTGCAGTGAAAGGGGGATGATACTAACTCCAACTTGGATCAGCATTGGCACTCACATAGCATGGATCAAATATCAGGTATATTACAGCTTGGACGCAAGAAAAAGATTGAGACACCAAAAGAGTTTATCATTTAGTTCAATTTATATCTTGGCCGACTCTGGAGTCGATACTGTTAATGCTGTCCCTATCCAAACGCCCCTGACACTTGGTCCAATGTATGCTGCATGTATCTTATCATAATCTGCCCTGTAGTCTAGCAGTTGCCCTTCCAGTTCTTACTGATCCACTCCGTCATGTGATATGTCCAAGTGCCATCGATATACTGCTCAACGCTGTCCTTGTTGTACTCCCCACCCAAGAACTTGAGCGCATCCAGAAGCCAAGGCTGGATAAAGTCGAGGTAAACAAGATCCACCGTCTCAGGCTTGCCGCTCTCGGGGAAGGCAATCTCCGCTTGCACACAGTTGGGAAGGTGGTAGGACTTGACGGGCTCATGAATCGTGTCGTCGCCGTCAGCACCAATGTCATCCTCGGTGGTGTAACCGGCGGTAAGATTTGGCTTGTCATCAAAGCTGCGGAGTTCCAGACGACCTTCCTTATCTTCCTCATCCTTTCGAGCCTGAGAGACAGTAGCAGGGATGGGGAACATTTGTTCAGGAAGACCAAGGAACTTGGGGTCAGCACCCTGCTCTGACATGATCCTCTCGAGGCTGTTGAGCACATCAATCACCTCGGAAGCAATCTTGTACGGCACATCTGGGATGTATCGGAAGCCGCTGGTGAAAGGGCTGATGGCGAAAGTGCTGTCTCGGGTAAAGGCGCCCTTGAAGATGTCGAATCTGACGCCACCCGTGTTGGTGATGGCAATTCTTGGCTTGTCCTTGCGATCTTCGCGCGTGATGATGTCTGGGAAGACTTCATCGGTGATCCAGCTGTAAATGTTGTCCTCACTTGGGTACTGCGCTCGGTTCATCCACAACATCTTTGGTGCGCACCCAAACTTGTGGTCGAGATTGAGAGCCTTGCGGGCACTAGTGATCATCCCAGTGACTTTCTGGCCTTGCTCAGTAGGGAACGTCGATTCGTTCAAGCCAGTGTGGTAATAAAGGCCGTAGAGGTTGCTGTCAATGTATCGACGAGTAAAAGTGGGAGAAGCTGCGGCTTCGACCTCCTTGTTGTCTTGCTTCTTGATACCGTCGATCGACATCCATCCAATTGTCTCAAGATACCGGCCACTGGCAATGGCAAAGGCCTTAGAGTCATACTTGACAGCATCTCGAACATGAGCATGACCACCGAAAAAGGCGATGGGAATGTGCCAATTCTGCTTGCGAATGGCGGTAAAGATGGTCTTGAATTCCTCCATGCGGAGACCAACATGGCCGATCACCACAAAAAGATCGGTCTTCTCGCGGATAGCCTTCTGGAACCATTCCTCTTTGATCGTCTCCGCCACAGGTTGGACGACGGTGTTGTTGGCGTTGCCGGTAAAGTCAAAGATGAAGCCAAAAGCCACAACATCGAGGCCCTGGTTCTTTGTCTTGAACTTGCGGTAGCGCTGAGCTTGAGGGACGCGATCGCCAGTCTCAAAGTCAATGTAATCGAGATTGGAGGCGAGATATTTGCCCTTGAAGTTGGGGACTGTAGTATTGTGTTCCTTGTCGGCCGAGTAATGCTTGTAGAGCTCGTGGTTGCCGGTGGAGATGATGTCGACGTCGGCTTCGGCGTAGATGTCGTATTGGTAGAGGCCCTTGGGGGTTGAGGCATCGTATAGGCCATTTCCCTCGACTCGGTCGCCAGTATCGACGACTATCACATCGGCTCCCTTGTCGTCGGCCTGCTTGCGCATGTGCTGGGTGAAGGAGATGTAGTCTCCCCAATCGGCTGAGTACTGAGCTCTGATAAGGTTAGCTATAAGTCGAGGCCCCTAGACGCTAGCCACTAAGGCACGTACTCTTGAAGATGACCCCCAAGCCAGCCATGCGTATCGGTTGTGTGGATAAAGTTGATCTGACCCCAGGTGAGGTCTCTCATGGGACCTGGCACAGGCTGGACAGCTCCGGGCTGAGAGGCGTGAGCAACAGCGGCAAGCGCTGAGCTAGCAGCCAAAGCTCTACTCCGCAAGACCATGCTGCAAGTGAAAGATGGTAATGAGTGCCAATATGAGTACAAACGTGATTCAACGAGACGGAAGATGACTCAGTCCTGTCTTGTTGATGATGAAGATGGAAGAAGGAGCAGCTCGGCTTGAGTGGAGGAGGACCCGGAGCGATAAGGTACCTGCCGCTAGATGACGTTTGAGGGGCCGAGACCCTGATGGCCGATGGCGGGACAAGGTGATTGGTCGAATGTCCTTACGCTATCAAATTTGACCAATGGGGTTGCCGTATACTCCCCACAAGGGCGCAGCTCTTCAGTGGGTGCATATCAGCGGGCCCGGTGCCTGGAGCACGGGACTCGTGTTACTCGGGGTGAGACAAAGCCCAAGTGATGGAGATCCATGTGACTTTACAGTGTGATCGGTATTAGGGAGATGAAGATGATGTCCGTGCTCTATTTCGATGTTTGGAGATAGTGGATGGATTGGTTGGCTAAGAACAAAAACTGGAATCTGTTTCATCGACGGCCAATAGCCGGGGGTTGCCCTTTATTTGTTGAGGGCAATGTTGAAGGTAAGTTGAAGAACTGTTGTTAGAAAGAGCTGCTCAACTACGTGTAGGCGACTGTGTCTAAGCTGTGGATGTCATGTCTTGATAGAGTACGGCATACGTGGTGCTCCTGGGAGCTCTTAGGCATGTCGGGATACAAATACCTGATTCTGCGGTTATTCGCATTCATAGAAACTGTTTGTTCATGTCCTTGGCAAATATACCCTCTGCTAAACATCATGGATTGCCAGGCCATGCAACAACGTCTACGCAATGCAAGGAACCTAAGCCACCGAGCCTATCGTATAAATGACGACAACCACCCCTTGAAACAAGACGAAATAGGGCTGACAAACAAACCCTTTGATCTCTGCTGGCACCTGAAGCGAGGCATACGACAAGTCTCTTGCACTCATTTTACCCAATCCGTCCCTGACCGTATCTCGCACCGCCATGCCATAGGACAGCCCTATCCCCATCCTCAGCCCAGAGCTGCTTACCCCATTCGGGGATGATGGAGCGAAGCCAGGTGGCTCCCTTGCTGGCAATCATGGAGAAGCGGATGCTGATTGGATAGATCGCCAGATTGCGGATCCTCGAGTCGCCGGTACGAAATACGATGCGGCGGAGGCTCCACTCTCGGCCGCTGTGCCTCCCGATGGCCGGGTTCTTGTTTGCGGCTTAGATGTCCAGGTGTTTGTGATTTGGTGTCTTTTCGACTTATAAGGGACTTGCCTCTTGTCTTCTTTAACTTCATTCCTTGTGTCTGTCTTTTGGTATTAATTTTTGGAGAGGCTGTCTATTTGACGAGTGACATACGACAAGAAACTCCAAGTGTCAGCAAATCGGATTTCGGAGCATCTATCTCCACGTCCTTTGTCCGACCTGTCGGATGTCGACACTCTCCCACGGAAACCCCCTAAAGACCGAATCTCGGTCTACCAACATCATAATACTCGGGGATTCCCTTTTGAAGAAACAACGACATGCCCGACGGCGGTGCTCTTCCGAAATCTCTACCTCCGACGAAGCCTGGTGAGAACCCAGCCCGCCGGCATCTCGGACAACTGTATCGAATCCCGGCAAAAGTGGAACCCGAAAAGATCAGTCACTGATGAATTTTCGTAGGAACAAGAAGTAATTCCAAAACGTATACCGTCACCTCGGAACAAGAATGCAGTGACCTCTTCCTCCGCGAAGTTTCGGCGTTGCCTGAACGGGAGCCAGTTACCAATAGCACAACGTCTCCGACGGATAGGCAAATGCCCATAATGCCTCGTATGCTCTCGAAACCAGCAATTGCATGGCTGAAAGATTGCTAACTCGACTCAGGGAGAGATTCTGCACAGACAGATAGCGTGACGAGGAATAATGTCTGGATAGGTCGCACCGTACGGATGGCCATGTCGAACGTACTCTCCGGATCATGACACTCGACGACTCGACATATCAGAAGCCACTAGACTTCTGTAATTCGCCCCGATGTTTGGATGGGACGTCGACTCAGTATACAGAAACCGGACAGGGGCAACAAAGGGCCAGTCGAAAAGACCTGGCCATCTTTATCGAGGTCGCCTTTAGTGGTGATGTCGGGTGTGTGCGGAGATGCCTGGGGGTTGAACCTCGATGTCGCAGATGTCGCAACATACGGACAGAAATATCATACTGATATGGAAAAGAGTTGATGAGGAGTCTCAATAATGTTCTTGCATTTCACGGCGTTGAGGATTGATGCCACGGAACGGCTTGACGACGGGGATGGAGGACCGAATTGCAGATATGAGAGTCGTCTGAGAAACTCGTATATCGCAATCACCCAACTCAATATATTACAATCCGATGACCAAGAGATGGCCCATGATTCGATATCAAATCAAGTCCTCGATTGTATTTCGGCCAATTGCCCACGATCCCCCACGTGGCTACCCACCATCATCACCTCATGCCCCAAATCAGCTCCCATGCCCAGACCTTTCTCGACCGGGTTGTGCGCCCTAGCCGCCCGCGGGACTTCAGCCCAGGACGCCACCAACAGCAAAGACTCGAGCTGAAGATGGCGCGGGACCAATCTCGATTGACTCTTCTAGTTGCGACTCTATTCGTTGAATGATCTCATGGAATTTGTTTCTCTGTGTTTTTGTCTCGTTCATCTGCACATGTGGCAGCCAGAGTCTCATCGTTATGGAGCACTAAAGCAGATGCCACTGTAAGCACTGTAACTTGACTGCTGCAGCAGTTCTTCCAGGGAGCTTTGGCCCCCGGCCCCGCCGTCACCCCGTCGTGAAGAACGCCACGACCACAGCAGAACCGCTAGACTGGCTGGGCAGCCCACAAAGCCAGGACGTTTACCCTGATTGAGTTTAGCTCTAGTTCTTGGCTCCCGCGTCCCGTGGATCTTTATGTGCCTCAAAGCCAATCAGAAGCCACATCATCAGCAGCTTGCCTGTTTAGGCATGGCCGAGGCTGATGGAAGAAGGAAAAAATTGATGGACCAGCAGATGATGGAGACAACCTGTCGACCATGGTCGCGGTACAAGATGTTGCGCTCAGCCTGTCCCGTCTCTTCTTTTCCTTCTCTTCTCTCTATCGCTGTCAGAAGAGATCGTCGCTTTCAACGGTGTCTCCGTGCAGTGCGTCGCCGATCAATCGCCTCCAACTTACTCCACAGACCAGTCTCGTTCAGAAGGTGGGCGCATTCAAAAAGCCCCCCGCCTCTCATCTGATCATAGTCCTCCTCTGGACTTGACCTCTCCTCCTTTTTACTTCAACCTCCAGCCCATGTCGACAAGCGCCAATTCGGCCCTCTACCTTGACTACCACGCGCTGGCACATCGCTACATGTGCCGCTTCGGCTTATAAACAACCAGCGAGCGACTTTGAGTCTTTGCGCTTGCTGCAAAACCTAGGGGACGATAAGAAAGACTTCATCCGACACTTTTGAGCAGACTACTTGTACCTTTTGCGATTGGTAGATCTGGCTTTTATACTTTTTACTACACCAAGATATCGATCTGCGCTTCTAGAATAGGGCTATTCGAGGTACGTACGACGCTGGCGCATCGCGATCAGCGTCATGGACTCTGATGGGGGGACGAGCTAACGGGAATCTTCAGACTACGTCTTGTACACCGAGTGATCCTCTTAGAGTAGATCTTAGACTCCGTCGAGCTTCGTTTCGTAATCCCTATCCTACGATACACAACATATCGCCTAGACACCACAAATACTGTCACCATGGCTACAAACAGCTCTCCCGTCGGCGACACTAAGGGCTTCGGCTCCCCTACTGCTGATCCCGTTATCGGCGTTGCCAATGCGCCTGGTCAAAGCCAGGATGCCGCCGTTAGCCAGGGCATTCACACTCTCGAGGTCAAGTCGGTCCATTGGTACAGCTATCTCACTACCTACGACTTCTGGATCGTCCTCGCCCTCGGTCAGGTTCTTGCCCTGTGCATCACGTCGACCAACACCTTTACAAGTTTCCTCGCCGAGGAGGGTACCAACATTCCCGCCTTCCAGACCGTCTTCAATTATATTCTCATGTTCCTCATCTACACCCCCATCTTCTTGTTCAAGGATGGTCCCCACGAGTGGGTTCGAGTGGCTTGGACTGACGGCTGGAAGTACTTCATCATGGCGTTCCTCGATGTCCAGGGCAACTACTTTACCGTCCTGGCCTACCGTTACACCAACGTCCTCTCTGCTCAGCTCATCAACTTCTGGGCTATTGTCTGCGTCGTCGTCATCTCGTTCTTCCTGCTCAAGGTCCGCTACAAGATCTTCCAGATCGTGGGTATCCTCGTCTGCTGCGGTGGCATGGGTATCTTGATTGGCAGTGACCACATCACGGGTTCCAACGGTGGAAAGGGTCTTGATATGGTCAAGGGTGATCTCTTTGCCCTGCTCGGTGCCACGCTCTACGGTACTACCAATGTCTTTGAGGAGTGGCTCGTGTCAAAGGCGCATCTGTACCATGTCCTGTCCTTTCTGGGCCTTTTTGGCATGTGCATCAACGCTGTCCAGGCTGCCATCTTTGACCGAAACTCCTTTGATAACGCTACCTGGAACGGCAAGGTTATCGGCTGGATCATTGGTTTCACGCTGTGCCTGAACCTCTTCTATGCGCTGGTTCCTGTCATGCTGCGCATGGGCAGTGCGGCTTTCCTCAACATCTCGCTTCTGACAGCCAACTTCTGGGGTGTCATTATTGGCACCCGCGTCTTTGGCTACAAGATTCACTTCTTGTATCCCATCGCTTTCGTGCTTATTATCATCGGTCAGCTCATCTACTTTGTCACCGGTAGTATCCTGAGCGATTCCAAGAAGCCCTGGCTTGGAGACAACCAGGAGGATGGTGTCCTGGGCTTTGGAACTGCTAAGCTCAAGGCTCTCAATGCTGCTCGAAAGGCTCAGATTGAGGCCGAGTCTGGTGGTAACGAGTCCTGACCTGGTCTGAGTGACGTTGATGAGTGAATGAATGGTACAGGCGGGTTGGGTATGGCGAGGAAGAGATGGAGTTGAGGGGCTGGTTGATTGTATGCTGCCTTGGATAGACCTTGGCTGATGGACTATTGGACTTATTTATGGTCAAGATGCTGGGGACTAGAGCGAGATAGCATGCATATTAATACCTTAATATTTACTGCTCGTTTTCTTCTACTATGATGTAGGTAGTTGTGGAAGATTGGACGTGTACAACAGATGGATCCCTTCTTCAAACCTGAGTTGGAGTTAGTCTGATGAACAGCTATATAAAGAAACACTTACGCCTGCTTGAAGGTGCCAAGAAAGTGCGTTGTCAGACGGCACAACTCGTCCTTGTCCTCATGGTGAGGATGGGAGACATGACCATACTCAGGGATGCATCCCGTGTTTTTCTCGGCGTTTTGGATCCCTTGCTCGGGCTTAGATGCCCTTGTCTGACGCGCTGACAATGGCTTCATAGTTAAAAGGGCACCAAACATAAAGTCGTCAAGCCTTGCCACGGGAAACACCGACATAGAACAGCTCTGTCGTAATGTGTGACTGTGAAATGCCCAGTACAGCCTTGTCCAGTGTCATACCTTGCGACTTATGGACGGTAATGCTGTAGGCGACCGTAATATATATAGCTGGAAAGTTTGGTCATCCGGCAAGGGTGGGGTGATTGGGAGGCTCCGGTATGGCCAGGAGACCCAGCGCTTCCCGCCAGACGAGGTCTTGAACCTCCAGGGGAAGCTTCTGGAATTTCGGAAAGCTCTTTGTGGGCTTCTTAACGGAAGCTGGTGATCTAGTCGGCCTAGAGGCGTACCCGGTTGGGCTGCTGGGAGCGGTGCGAATGTCGGGTAAATGAAGACAACACCCACCGTGACTAGATGGACGTTCCGTTGGCGAAAGGTGAATTACTATTCGCACCCTGTCCCGCCTTGCAGCCAGTCTCGAAGAAAAGGCATCATCAGGCCATGATATTTGGAAGACTTGTAGGCTCAGGGCATCTCTCGTCGTCTAAAACGCGACTGTGATAGTGGCCCAGTCCATATGCAGTCTGCGAGCGGTTCCGGCGAGGGCTAGGTCGCATAGCTCTTCACGATCGGGCATGTAAGCATGGAACGGAACCTACTCGCCGTGATGTTGGCTCGTGTCGTAGGGCAAGACGGTATAATCGGGGAGGCAGCAATGGATGGATGGTGAAAGGTAAGGGGCTTTTACTGCGGTGCCCTTTTCTCGTGAAAGTCCCGGGCACATAGAAAGCGATCATTGCTCTCAGTGGAGTATATATAGGTGATTCTTTGTGCTTCCATTTCCTGACACCGAAACTATAAGTTCGCTTCTGAGTTCGTGGATCCGTCGTGTCATCGGGGTCTATTGCCCTGAAACTTCTGCAGACGTCGATTCCGGAAGCCATTGACCAAAGCTTTCATCATGTTTTCCCATTGACTTTCGGTAACACACTACCCATAAGGTGTGTCGGTTGTTGGTCACCAAGCGTGCACCTTCGCCTTGGTCAAGAAGCCAAGTGCTAGAGCTGGTCCAAGTTCAGTCAATCTTGCTTGATGAAGTCGAGTTTGACCCGCCAAAGCTGATGCATAGTCGCGCAAGTCAATCTGCCTGGCATCATGAAGAAGGTGGCTACCGCCGCTGATGTGTGTTTCCATTCCACGGTGGTGAAGCTCGTGGGCAACTGCGAAAGGTTATTGCACATGGCTTCCACTGGGATGTATATATATATGGTTCAAGTAACATTGCGCCAAGCGTGTGGTGGACTCTCCCGGGTTGTTGGGTTAACCATTAAATGAACCGATTAGGCATTGCATTTTGAAGAACGACTAGAGCCACGGTTTGAGTGTCGGTGGTGTCCGGTGAATTGGTATGTGTCTGCTGTATATATAACGCAGCTCTTCTTTGACTGCAGAGAGAATGTGCGCGCGGCAAAAGAGGGTCTTCCCCTTTCTTGTCAGACATGCGGTGTTGAATCCAAGATCCAATGTCTCCAAGGAGCGATTCATGAACCTTCCTCCGGATTGTGTCAGGGGCGAGAATCATTCCTGGGCAGTGACGAGGAGCCGTATCTAACTCTCGGCTCTCCGTTTGGGTTTCACCATCCCGTTATACTATCCGATGGCGAATTGCATGTGGAAGTCTCTCAACCCTGGATGGCGGAGGAGAGGAGTCTCAAAGCCTTTGCAACGTTGCCGGACCGTCTGGGGAAGGTTTGGCAGATGTGTTGAGGTCGCGCGGTGTTCATTGTCGGTACGGGGATGAGTTTGACGACATGACCGCAGCCCGGATGAACCCGGTCTCTCGATGTATTAGTATCAGCGGTCCCTTTCTCCGGTTTGGCAGGACTCACAATGACCTTGGCGTGACCAAGAGCCCGATCCCAGATACGCCTCGCCCGGTCAGCCTGACAGAGGTGCTGTGTCAGATCTGCCTCAGGAGCCGTCTGAAGATACTCGATCAAGTATATAGGGGGTCCATTTCAGGAATTCTGATGGTGACGCAGCGACTGTTGACCTCCTGGCGTAGGAGTGGTCAACCTTTAGCTGGAGTCTCACCAAGTCAAGAGTGGGCATGGAATATATAGAGCAAAGCCGAGATGTGCGATTCTACCGGAGTTGAAAGACTTTACGTAGACTTGGCGGCGAGGGTCATGGTCGCATGATGGAGGTGGCGAGGACCCATTCTTGACCCTCTCCCGACCAAGGTACTGAAATGAGAAAGGAATCCGACAGGTACTCCCCAATCCCCGAGAGTGTCTAACTGAAATTGAGCAGTTGAGCTTCTCTCGATGGTCAGATTGTCTGACCAAAGCCTCGTCGTCCTTTAGGGGTGCCCACCAGTTGGACTAGCCGACTATATATACCCACAAGCCAGCGAATAGGGAGGTTGGGATCCCCGGCCCATTATGAGTGTCTCTTCTGGGTTACGGCGTTCGTCTGCTGTTCGATTGCAGGACGGGGCTGCTCTGGGTTGAGCTCGAAAGTGCGAAAGTGTTTTGGGAAGCTTCACCTCCACGTCCTTGTCTCCCTCCACCTCCGCCTCTGCCTCTGCCTTAGCCTTAGCCTCGGCCCTAGCCTCTTCACACCTGAGGTCAAATCTCTCATAAAATACATTTATGTATGAAAGCGGTTCATAGAGCCCGCCCATCTCAGAGAGGTTCTCGGCAGAAATCTCCCGATACACCAAGTCTTTCGAAAGAAATTTAATCTTGGTGTCGTTGGGTGTTTTTGCTTCGTGTTCTTTCAAGTAGTTTTCCAGGAAATGTGACTTCTCACTGTTCCAAGTTTCTAAGTGAAGATGGATTATCTGGAAAAGGGTACTTTGCCTGTCTAAAGTCCCACAAACGTCTTCCCAATGTTGTATTGGCTCTGGGCTCTATATAGTTGCTATCCCGGTCGCGATCAAGGTTGTTCGCTGGAGCCATTTGTTCTTGCGAGCCCTGGCTGGCTCTGCCACTCGTTCAGTTCTCCCAACTGGAAGAGCCAACCGTGATGCAGGAGAGGCAGTGAATCTCCATGGCAGACTCGCTGAACTGAAAAGCCGGTGGGTTCTAGAAGGACATAGTCTGTCTTCTGGGCCCGTCGCTTTTTTCGTACCACAATCGCCGGGGATCGCAAAGCATGCAAATTCTTTCTGTTGCCAGGGGATCCAAGTGCATTGATATAGGGGAATGGCATTCATCGCCCAGTTCATCAGAAGATCAGACAGACTTGAACAATGTTGTTGCATTCCCGGGCAGCAGGGCAAACCTATCTCAGCTGAGAGCTGGCGGGGCCAAGTCGTATATATAGAGCCATAATATTGACCCAATAACTTCTTATTCCTTATTTTCAGATGCAGGTCGATCTCGATCGTCGCGATCAAACAACAACCTTGGCCTTGAGACTCGGATGTGGTCGAGTTGACCTCCGGGTCGTTCTCGCAATGAGTCTTTGAGGCGCAATCCATAATGAGAACATGTGTGATATGTATGGCCATGGAAGGATGTACCGGGTTGGGCTGTTCAGGTGCCCAGATCATGTTCCCATAGCTGTGCGACAGTTTCAGCCCATTACCCGTCATGGGAGCGTTGATCTATATAAACAATTATTGTTGGTAAGGTTTGAATAGATAATATTGGGGAGATAGAAAGCAGGCGTATCTCGTCTTGGGATATGAGAAGACTCACTCCCTGTACTCTTCGAGAACCGTGGCAAACCAAGCCCGAGGTGCCAAGCATGGCGGGTTAAACAGGCTAAGCATTTGGTACGGGGTCTTCCGATATGCTTCACAGTAACGTCTCGGGTGATCTCTGAGTAGTTGTGGATGAGGTTGGCGGGCGTGGGTATGTATTGTGGTTGAGCCGCTCGAGTTTGAGTAATTCGTCGAAACTGAGGCAGTCGACGACTTTAAACTCGTCGTCGGCTTCATAACTCTCATCGCTCAGGAAGTGAACCACCAAGCCATTGTGGTCATATATATAGAGTGAGCCAGATAGTTCAACAGCTTGCCACCTCTAGGCACCGAGTCGTGTTCGTCAGACTGCGAACCCCCGGAATGACAGATATATAAGGAGTTGTACGAGGCAAGGGGAGCCAGTGTTTGGGAGCCCATTTCTAGGATATAGCTCGCACCAGCACTTGGTGGAATCGGTTGGACTGCGCCTGCCAGAGAACCCGGCAGTAAATGTGCGACTGGACTGTGACCCTTGCATCGATCGGAGTGCCATATCGAGAGATGTGGGTTGATTTCGAATTCCTCTGGTGGAAATATATTGCGAGCTTGTATATAGAGATAGGAGCGTTCAAGCGGGATCTGTTGTCGTAGAATGCATGCGCATCTCGGGAAAAACTTCCATGGTCCCCTTTCCAAGGCCCCGGGGAATTATATCAACAAAGAACGGGCTCTCAGGATGTTCTTCTTGATGCTTCGTGTGAAGGTGACCTCATCGCGACCCTTGACGGGGTTTCCTCTTAGTCAATCAGGAGTCTCTAACTCTGTGTCTCCTCTCTTAATGATATAGGATTTTGTTGAGAGCGACAAGACGGGAACACAAATCGATGTGCTTCCCAGTAGAGTCCACGCTGTCTGGTCAAACTCTTTGCCATCGGCCAAGGAGGAGTTTGCACGCGGGGCGACTTCATAAGGAGAAGTCGAATGCCTCACACCCAAGGACGGGGGTCGGTTCATTTCTTCTGAGCAAGAACTGTATCAAGGCATCCAAACTCCGGCCCTGAGCTTATATATACAGCCAATGTGGTAGTCAGGTTAGATGTTTTGATGCTCCATCTTGATGGGAAGATCTTCCTTATATGAAGGAATATGTGTGCACCGTATGATTCACCCTCGAAGTCGTTCGAGATTCGTCCAAGACTGCAGAGGTCTGCATCGTCACTTGAAGCCATGACGATCCCGTTGAGGTTATTCCGCTTGGCAGAAGTAAGACACGACGCAACCATGAACCCGCATTTGGGATTCAGCACCTAAGAGCCACGGTTGTGGGAGACAAAGTGCGTTCTCCCGCGATGGACTTGTTTAGAGGTCATGGTGGCGTGCCAGAGACACTACTTCCCCCGCCGTTTCATGTTATGGGATCTTTGGTTGGTGCAGTTTCAACTCTACCGACTTGCCCCGGCATTACTGCAATGTGTATACTTGCAGCCATGTAAGCCTTTGACGCGGCTGTGGCCATATATATGAGCTCAATCTCAGTCGTCGTGGGTGGCGGGTATATGGACCACGAGGGAAGAGGTTGGATGTGAGAGCTCTCCGGAGTCTCAAATCCAGGCCATGCCCTATCGCTCAACTCGAGACATTTGCCAGTTCCCATCACTTCCTCTCAACTCTTTCATAAAGCCCTGGAGCGTCTCCTGGTGCGAACCATCCGTGAAAGAAGCTTTGGGTCGTAGTAATCCTCACCCTGGTGACGGAGGGCACAAACATGGATGCCAAGAACATGTACTTGATCTGTATGGCTATATATGTTGATGGTGGTTCTCATGATCCGCTAATTCCTCCAAAGCCGAATTAGTAGATTGGTCTGCTTCCTCTCATGTAGCCCAAAGCCGCGGAGGCAGCCTAACCTGGAACGAGCCGAGTCATTAGGCCAGATCGATCTTTCGTGGCCCTCATCTACGAACTGACCCGAAAAGCCGATTTTTCTTGCATCCAGTTCAGTTCCGCTCCGCGGTCCAAATCCCTGATCGCGTCGTGGAATGGGCATTCCGTGCCTCTGCGGGGTGTCAAGGACTAACAAATGTTGCATGGATGAAGGAAGGAAAGGGTTATAGATGAAAGCACGAAGTGTGAGTTGTGGTATATATATTGATGCCTTCCCACCATTGACACCATTGCCACTGAGATGTTTCCCCGACGGGCTTGCAAGAATAGCTCAAGATCCATGCATTAAAGGGTAGTATATAGGATCGTGTTGGGCAGGAGGAATCAGAGATGTAGACATGGAGTAGACGGCGGCATCGTGAAGTGGTGGACCGAGTCCTCTTTGCCGGCCTGGTCTCTGGTGGCATGCTTTTGTGTCAAGCAGCATTCCCCGAATGTTCATGTGTGATCAGGGAAGAAGAGGCCATTAGATTTCCCGAGCCTTTGTGTCAGGTGATTTGCACAGCATATTGAACAACCCCTTTGCATAGTTGGGTTGCACTGGAGTGAATGTGAGGATACCGGGAACCAATTGGTCAAAGACGAATGTAACACATGACATCTGGGACCCGGATCTCGCCTGTGCAGTATATATAGTTCATCGTTTCCATGAAATTTCGGTAAATAATGAATAATGGTGATGCGGTCGATGAGCGATAGGGATGTCACCGGTGTCTTCCAGACATCTCGTTTGGAGCCAGAGGCCAGGTGGAAGATAAACAGCCTGCTGGGGTAGCGGACCTGCTGGGCAGAGCAGCAAGGCTTGCTAAAATTCCGAGGAAACAACGCACGGAGCGATGTGGGTGGAGGAAACCAGCCTTATTTTGTTCTTGTATTGTTGGGGGCAGCTTTGTGAGGGGATAAAACTGCCTCGTGTCTCTGATGAAGGCAAGGAGAGTCCCGCAAGGCTAGGCGTGACAAGAAGCTGGGGTTGACTGGATCGCTTCGATGAATCCGCCGCAACACCCTAATGGAAGCGTTATATAATAGGTAAGAGACAAGATATATAACGAAATAATGAAGTGATTGATGTGCGGAAGTTGATCTGAGCGAGGAGCCTGGGGGCAGGACAGCCCCTTTTATACTTGTGAGGACAAGATCTGATTGCCAGGCCAGGCTAAAAAAACAGCATGATAAAAGATTCATATCGTCTAAAAAGACCATGTATATGCGGCTTGTCATACTGATTGCCCTGATTGCCGGCTCTCTTCCGCTTGGTCAAGCAGCTTGCGGGTTGGTGCAGCATTCCGTGATTGCCTGCGTGGCCCCTTAGTGGGCTATAAACTGCACAGCAAAGTGGAAAGCTTGCTAAACCAACGTGAATTACCGAAACAAGCGAAGGGATGACTTGCGATCAACACTTGCTCGTATCTTGGCCGTTCAGCAATTGGTGGGTACGCTGAGACTCGGAGCAGGTCCTGAAGTATTACCCACACATGGGTCTTTCTCATCTGCGGCTTGGATCACCCCGAAATATTGTCTACCTCTCTGTACAAATAAAAGATGATTGGAGCTTTAGACAGCGATGATATCCTGGTTGATAGCCTGAGCGCCTTCCTGATATCGCAACATTACATTACCCGTTACACCGTCCTTCATATACCCGATAAAACACCACAGCTGCTTTAAACACCCTTAAACACACGCTCATCGGTTGCTTTCGAATTTAGCCTGGATAGAACATCAACGAGACGCGTCAGTTGAATGCCTGCTTCCTCCTTTACATGACCGTCCTGGTTCTGCGACAGCTCCAACAACACACTCCCTACTAGCCGTATCTGCTCGATCTGCTTCATATCAGTATTACCGAGCTATGGATGTAAGCATTCTTAAACTCACCCATGGCTCTCCCATGACCTGCAAGTGGTGGACTGGTAACTCAATCAGAGTGTTGACAAAGTCACGACCTCCCTCAACCACTCGACTGACAAGCAGCGATTCATCACTCCAGTCTGGCCCCAGAAACCCAGCTACATTGTAGGCGATGCAGTGTCGTAATATAACCATCCTCAAGGCGTGCATAGCGATCCGGAGCTGGGTAGTCTGCGTGAACAGGGTCCCAGTCCGATACTGTCTGACAAAATCCAGCTGCGATGAAGCAAGATTCTCGCCGTCTTCTGGTGGCAAGGTTGGGTTATAATCGTCCAAGATGTGGGAAAACTCGTGCCACATGTCTGGCAAATCACTGACAGAAGCAACGCTGCAGTCATGGTTCTCTACATAAGGGTCGTCCCGCGACTTTGACCTCAATGCCCACATCAACTTTGCTGCAATGTGCCTCATGCGACATCCCATGTAGAAGCCATCGAGAACTTGCTTCTCAAGCTGTGGTGAGTTTTCGTGTCTTCCGTAATCCAACATAGGCGATGGTTCTTGCTGATAGGGGTTCAAGGTGAAGCCGGTATCGAATAGAGCCTCGCGCAACAGATGTGGTCGAGTCCCTAGAGCAGCAGCTGTATGATCCGAAGTCAGGAGATGCAAAAAGTTGTTTCGGAGTAGCTGTGCTTCTAAAGGCGGATAACTCGCCAGACTTGTCTCGTCGTAGAGTCTTAGATCTAGTGCTAGCAGCCTCGCTTGGCCGACGACACGATGTGCCAGTTGAGACTTGCCGGTCAACTGCTGAATGGCGCTGGAATGAAGTGAACGGATTGATAAGGATGATGAGTCCGGGTGTTCAACATCAATGTCCTCATAGAGTTGAAAGCTTTCTCTCGAGGCTGTGTAGAAGGCTGCAGCAACAGCTATGGTTTGTGGTCCAATGACGGCATCGCGATGAATGCTAGCGATGGATGCGCAGAGTGCTGAGAGGAGTGTATATGCCCGTAATGACGTGAGCGTATCTTGTTCAGCGGCAGCTTCTGGCCGAGGATTTTTGAAAAACTGGTTTGCACTCTGCCACAGAGACGGCTCATGGCAGATTGGAGCTGCAGGGAATTGGTACTGAGTGAAGAGACGGATGCACTTGTCAACGATGTTTAAGGGAGTGGTGGATGGGACCAATGCTTGTAACTTTGTTAACAAGGCCGATTTGATCTCTCTTGCCTGCTTGATCTTGATAAAACAATGGGACAAAGAATCAGAGTCTTGAATAGGAGCTTCGATCCCAGGCTCTAACAGGTAGGAAACTCGAAGCTTGTCTAATGCTTGGGCAAGGCGGGGAGGAGCCGCGGGTTCAGGAGGCTCAAGCTGAGAAGCAGGGGAACTTGTCGAGGTGTCTGCAGGCTTCCGACCCCTCTTCTTAGGTGCGATCTCGAAAGTACATTGAAGAGCAGATATTCGACAGAAAGCACATGAGGGTAATGCTCCGTCACACTATGTTTGTCAGCAAGTCAGCTCAGAAGGTCCCGCCCTTGTCTTTGATGGAGGCGAGGTGAGTGAATGAGCTCCTAGAATGTACCTTGATCTTCCTACGCTTACAGGCGTCGCATGCACGTCTAGATAATGGAACCTGCCGACTGCTCTTCATGCTGGTGGTCATGGAACGGACGGATGTTGTGGTGACGTTGAAAGTCAATTCTCCGTGGAGAATTTCCCAGGACTTCTTGTGGGGATCACAGACCAAGCTGGCCAATGGGCGATATCTACAGAAAGGGGCAAGCTTGACTTCAGGGCGAGATTTCATGTTGTTTTCGTATGTGAAGTTGATCTTATGATGTTAAGATGGAAGGAGATCAATTCAAGTCTGGTGTTGTTACTTACCATCTTCTGGCTCAGTTAAGCCATCAAAGGCCGGGCTTCAGCCATAGTTGTTACTAACATCTGATATCGGCCAAGTTGTTGGAACTGGACAGTAAATGTTTGCAAATTGATTGATCCCCCCAAATATTGTAGATTTGTTTGTCCCAGACGTGCATCATGTAGCCGGCAAACTACATTAGTTGCTATTTGTCTAGGTTTAGACACAAAAAGCGGCCAAAGGCTTCAACCAACCGAGCTTGACACATTGGTGGCAGAAGGAAGAAGGGAATTTAACTGCACTTTGATTCCACTTCAGGGTGGCTCCTCCTCCTGTGAAGACAAAGTCTTGTGCGCGAGGGCAAACCTGCAGTTTTTTTCATCTCACAATCTCCTAGGCAATACGGTCTCCGTAGTCATTCTAGGAACAACTGCCGCAGGGAGAGTCGTTATTTATGAGAAGCAATAAGTAAACTAGTAGTCCTTCCAAACCGATCCCGCTCTTTTACTTGCTCTTATTAAAAGCTACACCAATTTCAAACACACAAAGAACTCGGTGCTGATCGAGAAAATACCACAGTGACCGGAATCTTACCCATTCCAATACTTGAAGCTATGGGAGAATGGAACGCACACTAGTTGGTCCTGGAGCTATCGATGACTTACCTTGGCGCTTGAACCAACTCGTTTCATCCGGCTTCAGGGCTGAAACCTTGACTATCTGGATTAGATGCTCCGGAGGCGTGGTTCTGGACTATGGCTTCTCGGCCGATTCTAGATTCCATCTAGGCGAGGCACCAAGCTTGATGCGCCCACCCGCCATGGTCAAGCCACGTGCTTTAGGAATGGGAACAAGTCTAGGTCGGGTGTAGGAACTTTGATGCCGCAATTAGCTACACAATTTTTAAGGTGTAAGCCTCCAGAGATCCGGGTCCGTTCGGTTTCTTTCTTGTCCGAGGCTGGCATCAGTCCTCTTATATAACACCAGGACCCTTTCTTGGCGCACAGGCGTTTGCACGAACTTCTTCTTCCTCTTGAATTCTTTCTAATTCAGCAAAAATGTGGTCCCGGATATTTACCTTCTGCCTTGCCGGCTTGTTCTGGGGCGAGGCCATGGCCATCGTCATCCCGGCACAGAACTCGACCAAGGTCAAGGTGCAGATGGAGCACTTAAGTCTTCGGGCCACTGGACCCCTCGGTATAGCCATTAGTCGAAATAATTGGAAAGTTACATGCGATAGCGACAACCCGGACTCAGACAATGCCTGTCAAAAAGCAATCGATGGCGATGTAAACAGCTTTTGGCACACGGCTTGGTTTGAAGATACAAGCAAAGACCCAACGCTTCCGCATACACTCACGGTCGACATGAAGACCGTTCAAAACGTCAACGGCATCTCTGCTCTTCCTCGACAAGACGGTACCACACACGGATGGATCGCGAGCCACGACATCTTCCTCAGCACAGATGGGAAAACCTGGGGATCCCCTGTTGCGACAGGAACATGGTATGCAGACGGCACCGAGAAATTCTCCAACTTTGAGACGAAGCGGGCTCGCTATGTGCGTATTGTCGCCACCACCGAGGCATACGACGGTCCATGGACGAGCATCGCCGAGTTCAACGTCTACAAGGCTGCTTCTTACACTGCACCCAAAGCTGGAATTGGAATGTGGGGACCAACACTCGATTTCCCAATAGTTCCTGTTGCTGGAGCAGTTGATCCAGAAACTGGAAAGGTTTTGGTCTGGTCTTCGTATTATCACGATACCATGAACGGTTCTCCTGGAGGCATGACGCTGACTTCGCTCTGGGTTCCAGCGACGGGCAACATCACCCAGAGAGAAGTCTTTGAGACCAACCACGACATGTTCTGTCCTGGAATTTCCATGGACGGAACAGGGCAGATCGTTGTGACGGGTGGTAACAGCGCTGCGAGGACAAGCACCTGGGACCCTGTCAAGAATCAGTGGGTATCAGGACCCGACATGAGGATCGCCCGTGGCTACCAGGCCTCCGCCACCACATCAAACGGCAAGGTCTTCACTATTGGAGGTTCTTGGGCTGGTGGTGAAGACTTCAAACCTGGAGAAATCTTTGATCCAAGCTCGAGGAAGTGGACACTCCTCCCGAATGCGAAGGTCCAGCCTATGCTCACGGCTGATGCCCAGGGACTCTTTCGTTCTGACAACCATGCATGGTTGTTTGGGTGGAAGGGGGAGACCATCTTTCAGGCTGGTCCCAGCTCTGCCATGAACTGGTACTACACGGGAGGCAAAGGAACGGTTAAACCTGCGGGTAAGAGGCAGTCCAGCCGCGGAGTTGATCCTGACTCTATGTGTGGCAACGCCGTCATGTTTGATGCTGTCAAGGGAAAGATTGTCACATTTGGTGGAACACCAAATTACCAGGACTCTTACGCTACGACAAACGCTCACATCATCACCATCGGTGCCCCTGGAACGCAAGCAAATGTGGTCTTTGCCAGTGACGGCATGTACTACCCTCGTGTCTTTCATACGTCTGTTCTCCTACCAGACGGCACGGTATTCATCACCGGAGGCCAAGAATACGCCATTCCTTTCGAAGACTCGACTCCTCAGCTTACACCGGAACTATACATCCCTGACAGCGACACCTTTGTCAAACAGCAACCCAACTCTATCGTTCGAACCTACCACAGCATGTCAATTCTTCTCCCCGACGCAAGAGTCTTTAATGGCGGTGGTGGGCTATGTGGTGATTGTTCAACAAATCACTTTGATGCTCAGATCTTCACCCCAAGTTACCTCTTGACCAAAGACGGCAAGCCAGCCGCTCGACCAAAGATCGTCTCAGTTTCGGCCACTACAATCAAGGTTGGCGGTTCCATCACTGTCACGACGGGAGGCGCTATAAACACTGCCTCGCTGATACGATATGGAACGGCCACGCATACTGTCAACACTGATCAACGTCGTATTCCCTTGACGTTGACTGGCGCTGGGAAGAATAAGTACACGTTAAAGGTTCCTAGCGACTCGGGTATTGCTCTGCCTGGGTATTGGATGTTGTTTGTCATGAATTCTGCGGGAGTACCTAGTGTTGCGGCTACGATCAAAGTCACTACTTAGTCTACCTTGCCAGCATAAGTTTTAATCAATTCACTGCATCTATGCTTTACAAACCAACTGTTCCAAGTCCTGAGTTTGTAGTATGAAAAATGATTGATCCTCCACCACCATCACCTTGTCAGTGACAATACTGCATATCACCTCTGTCTTTGAAACCTTGACGACGAGGTCTTTGAATTACCCACCTCAGTTGTTATTCATGTCTTTAACAGCTTCTTGAGTAGTCGTGAAATCATTTTTCATTCCTAAGAATTTAGCCTTGGCAACCATCGAGGAACAAAGATGAAGGGATCACTCTGCTCCGTAAAAGGAAATCACGGAACCAAATATTTAGACCTCAACTCCAACACAAGCATTAAGCCTAAATTCAAGCTTTCGGCACAATTATCTAGCGTTTTATAAGTCGCTATAACACTTCGGAAGGTCGTCATCGGGCCCTCGGCCTATATAGGCAGTTGTCCCATCCCACGATGCCAAATGGCTCCATGATCGACACATTTTAGATACTTCGGTATAATTCTACCCCGACATGCGCCCCCAATACGAGCCTGCAACGTGTAGAATGAGGAAATTGGGGGTTTATGCGTTCCTATTGCCTCGGCATATAAATTGCACATATAGACTTTTCTGATGCCATGTTTCAAGATGGTCATTGGCGGAATAACACATTGTTCTTCCCGTGTGGGGGAAGGGTGAACGTGATGTAACTTGGCGAAAGGACAGCATAGTCGGATGCTTTTGGAATATATGTTGTTATATAGCCAGCGTTGTCTGCTTCTGAGGGGATTTTGAAAGTTACCTCCTCTCCTGCTGTTGGCGTTTGTCTTCGACTACTACATTCTGCATCTTGTTCAAAATGAAGTTCTCTTCGGCTTTCCTGTATGTGCTGAGCTCACTTGGTGTAGCTCAAGCTGCTAAGCCTCCCTACTTTATTCTCACTGGCGACTCAACCGTCGCTGTTAATGGAGGCTGGGGTGATGGCTTCCTGGCCGACTTGAAGAGTCCCGCTTCTGGCGTCAACAGCGGCAAGAGTGGCGCCACGATCCCTTCTTTCCGAGCCGAGGGCCGCTGGAATACTGCTATTGAGGCTGTCAAGAGCCACAAGGGAGCCCACGAGTCTATTGTGACTATTCAGTTTGGACATAATGACCAGAAGACGTATACTCTGGAGCAGTACTCGAACAACTTGATTGGGTTGGTTAACGAGGTCAAGGCAGCTGGAGGAACACCTGTGAGTATCTCATCTGTATTCTAGAGTCTGCTCGTGTACATACTAACAAATCAGATCGTCATTACATCCCTCACCCGCCGTACTTTCAGCGGTGGCCACGTTGTCGAGAACCTCGCGGAATGGCGAGATGCCGCCATCGCAGTCGCTAACGACCTCAACGTCAAGTATCTCGACCTGAACACCGCCAGCACCAACTACGTCAATGCCATTGGCCAGGCGAATGCCGATTACTACAACCTGAGCCAGGGTGACAGGACCCATCTTAACCCAGCTGGAGAGATTGTCTTTGGTCGTCTGGTTGCTGATTTGCTGCTTGAAAAGAGACCTGACTTGAAGAAGTATGTTGTTCCTAACGAGGCTTTGAGCAAGAAGATTCGGGACGGAGAGTTTGCCACCGGCGAGGAATGAATGTTCCTGGGATATCAGAAGCACTCAAGCAAGTAGGATCAAACCAATGGCCCCTAGTTGGTAAAGTATGTATGGTTTTGAATATGAAACACGCCTAGTATATCATCAACGTATCTAAACTCTGGGCCAGGGTATTTTCCTCTCTAGTATAATCCGTGATCCACCGAAACTCATCTATTATCTCAGCCTCCCAATCTAGGAGCACCTGGAGGCTACCGATCCTTCTAAATTCAGTAGAATTTGTTTCAATCTTCTGCAGCAAGAGGCAATGCACTTCCAGGCTCTTGAAAGTGTTCCTGTTGGCTCTGTCGTGTGTAAGGATCGGTAGACAATACGGAGCTTCTTCTTCAATATCGATATCATCGTCCACATCAAGAGAGAACTCGAAGGTGTAGTGTCCGCCCCTATCGCCTCTCCATTCTGCGTCTTCGAGATTGGCGAGGTTAACCTGACCCAGCTTTCCAAGAACGCGGATATAACCTCCTGTCACGTTGGTGTAGATCTGGTCGGTGCTGCTCTCGATTTTCACCTCGGTGATTTCAACCAAATACCGGCCAATGCCTTCGCGGTCCAACATGTTGATATTTGCAGCTTCAAAGTCGAGAGACGCCCAGCTCCACGAAGGACCTATTGCCAGTCAGAAGGTGTCAACCACTCGTAAATTCTTACTTACCTCGATATGTGGTTGGTCTAGTGACGATCAAGTCATCTTGTCCAACCATGTTCTGCAGCTTCCAGAGCAACCCATGAGGAAGCTGTCTCTTCCACAAACCCGCCAAATACTCGTCATTGAGAAGAGCCTGTGCTTGACTCGCTATACCTGCAATGGCAACAAGACGATCCGATTCTTTCGTGAGGTAGCACCTGCAGAACATCTGCATTAACAGTTCCCAATGCTCAACACCATCCCTTTCAAGACCATCTCTCCAATCCTTGGTGCTCCCTGGAAAGTCCTGATCCACATCATCACCAAGTATCGATGGTTCGGAGGGCAAGCCACAGGGATAAGTCTCGCAGGCTTTGAGTGTCCGACATTCCCAGAATAGCTGAGATGAAAAGTGCAAGGTCCGAGGGCTCAATAATCGCTCCTGGAAGACCCAGCCTCTGCCATTCAAAGTTGCCCGAGAAATAGACTTGAACCAGTGACTATTCAAAAAGAAGACATATTCGCTCTCATGTCCTTTCCAGTTGACGTGCGCGGTATGCGGTGTTATTAAGTGAGGATCTCGCCAACTGTACAATCCGCCTTGACCATGGGAGGCTGATGTTGCTGCAAAGTTGCAGAATGAGTATTCATAGACCTTTCCCATGTTCGATGATTCCTTCAGCCAGTCTGTCTTTGAGTCTTGGATGATGCAGAGGGAATCTATCCATATGTATCGAATGCCTAGGCTTCGACACAACCGAATCGCATCGTGAAAGGTAAACGGCAAGTCGGCTGGCCGAATACGCTGCATGAAGTCGTTTGTATTTGACTTCTTCAGCTTGAGCATGTTACTAGTCCCCCAGCGATGGCTCAAGGATATGTACAATGGTGACGGGGAGCTGGAGCTGAGAGATGAAGCCATCACCAATTTCGGATCCTGGGTCGACCAAGCAGGTCCGACGTCAATCAGGCGAGTCGGGAGCCACGATTGATGATCTCGTACGCGACACTTTTCGTGCTGTGTGGCGCACTCAAAAAGCCAGAGCGTTGCTATCGATTGGCAGGCATCAACGCTATTCGGTGGTCTTGGACAATCAGGTAGCATATCCCCGACGGCTGTATCCAGTGTTAGACCGTTTCGTCCAGGCATCTAACAGAAGAACTTGCCTGTCCTAGGATACATGTCTACCGAAAGAAGTTCGGGGTAAACATGAGCTGACGTTTTAAGCTGATAGACTAACGCACAGAAGCCGGCTGTGTCGTCGTCCCAACAAATCTTTGGACCGATGACAGCCTGTTCGACATTGATCCTGTCGCCAAGTCGAGAAGAGGCTTCATTCCATACTATCCTACAAAGAGGACAGCCAGATTCGGCAGCCTCAAGGACATCCCTTCCCCGGCGCTTCCAGCTCGCAAATGCAGGGTCTTGCCAGCAGTCACAATTGCCGGGCTCCAAGTCCGGCTGCGTGAATAGGTCTTGGCATTTATGGCAAAGCTGGTCGGGTTGTGTCATCGTATCACCCGAGGTCAGTTTGTTTGACGAACGATGAAAGGGCAGGGCACAGGGGAAAAGGTGAGATAAGGGTGGGTTTGTTGCTAGAGCCCAGAATAGCTGCATGGGAGAGTGATCAACAGGTTCTAGCCCATCAGTCCTAGTCACGTGCATTTCATCAAGAGAAGACATCATGGCCATGTCTTGAAGTGCAAATTGATGCATCTTCTACTCATCATTGCATGTATCGATTGAAGAGAGATAATATTGTCCATCTACAGATAAAACTTGCCCTTCTGTACCTTACCGACCACCACATCCTCCATCGGCGCCGCCAACGCGATCCGACCAATCTCAGCATGAGGCTCAACGTCGCCCAGCATCACCTTGACCTCTTTCATCTTGGCCATCTTGTCATCGCCGCTCATGAATGACGAATGCTTGATATCGTCGCATCTATTGTCCAACATTCCCAGCGCCAGAGAGCCCAGCACCTCAGGCACCATTATCTTGAAGCGAACGACAATGGCAGCCAAGGCTACGCCGAAAAGAACAGTGGATGATGCCAGCAGCATGATTAGCCATAATGTGCTGTACTGGACAATCTCGTCCCGGGTATACGTGTCCCTGTTGACGAAGCTGACGGAAAGATTGTTTGCGTTTTCTTCAGTAAAGCCTCCCGCCACATCTCCTGGGTGAATGCCCAGCAACAGTTGCGAGTTTATCAGGTGCGAAAGACGAGTCTCAAATGTCGCACGCGGGAGTGAAGCAGGTTCAGTCTTGTTCCTCGCCGAGAGCGCGTTGAAGGGGTCGGCGAGGTAGACAATGGTGGGAGTCTGCCCGCCACTATTGTATGATCCTGGAAACATGTTGGCAAAGAGATTCACGAAGCCCTCCGGGTCATGAAAGTTGTATCTTAGGTCGAGCGCAGTCCAGTTGCCGTTTCTTGGCGGCTTCGGCGATCGTCGCACAGAGGACGGGGAGCACAAGGTGCCCTGGCAGTCCATCTTGACGTCAACATATGTCGTGTACAGGTGACATTCCGCGTACGAGTGCGTTTCTTGTCCGAAAGTGCGAGACTCCCATATAAAGACGCGAGCTGTGCGATCCTTCCCTGAGCGATACTTTTCGCCCAGAGCTTCGATGTCATCCCAACACGGTTGGGAGATGCTGGCTCTCAAGGTGTATTCAGGCTGAACGGTGGTCCAATTGCAGTTAGTCCTGTCAGTCGAATTGAAGTCTGGTATAATCGTGGTAAAATTGTACTGAGCATTCACTTTGAGGGTCGTACATTCGGGGTTGATGTAGGATGCCGAAAAGGTAAAGGAATGGTTCCCTTTGCTGGGGAGTGACACCACAGGAACCCCGACAAGTGCCGAGTATTCGATGTCGTCCATCTTTGAGACATCGACCCAGTTTGTGTCCGAGGCACTTTCTGTGAGCCTCTCAATCATGGGGACACGAATGTTTCCCCAGAGATCTTGGTTTCTGCCCTGCAGCAATCGTGCGGATATCATGGTTGCAACGGTGGGCGGGACCAACAACCTCCTAGCCTGCGCCGTGTCGCTGGCAGTCAACATGAACCGGAATGGAGCAAATGTTTCCAGCACCGTCAAGTTGCCTGTACCGTTTCGGAAAGCCTGGTCGGCGCTTATTGCCCGCAGCGCAGCCTGGCTACCTAGGGGCGACAGGCACCACAGCAGAAGAATGGCGATGGCGAGGGCGTTGAAGGCCTTGAGCCGAGCTTGCGTGAAGACTGCTTCAGCTACTGTGTGGCTGCCGACCAGCTGTTCAATCAGTCCGATGCGAGTGCCGTTCTGAAGCCGCCAGGTTGCGAAAGTCTTTAACGCAGCGCCGGCGATCGCGGCGAAGAGGACGGGGAACACGGTTGGACCCTATAACTGTAAGTTACTTTGACACTATTTGGAAAGAAACGATCATACATATTTGGCTATATCCAGCAAGAGTTTACTCGTCGACCCTGGCGTGGCCGGTGTTCCGTCGCTCACGTATATCAGGCCACCGAAAAGAACAAAAGCCAGAGCGACAATAGCAAGAGCGAGATCGAGGGTGGTAGTGAGGAGTCTTTTGAGCGCCCATGGCCCCTCCAGCAGACCCGGTTCAGCTTGCTCTGGTGTGTCTTTGTGCATCTTGTTGAGCGAGCTGGGTTGAGGAGAAGGCAATCAACAACTAAATCGAGTCAAAGAAGCAAGCCTTTAAAAAGAAGGAAGCACTCCTCGAGAAAGAAGAAATATCCGGGTCATTTATCCATCTCTGTTACTCAGCTGTGGATGTTTTCTCAAAACCAGGCTGCCAAGAAGCTGAGAATAAAGGATCAACCGGTACAACCCATAAACCCTCACGATTGGATGCATATTGCTGCAGGCTCCCATCACGAGACACGGGCTGGCGGTTCCGTATACTGTTTGATTCGAAAGCCTAGATGCAGAGCAGAAGCCGGTGAGATGCCGTGGAAAACGCCTCAACCTGTGTGTTTCAGCTCTGGCGGCAGTGCGAGGTAAGTTTGTCGTTACTCAAAGCCATCTCCGTATTTTCAAGGAGAAGGGCTGTTTAGATGTTGCTCAAGATTATCCAGATGTTGATTTGGCTCCAAAATGCGTAGAAATACCTAACACCGCATCAATCAGCCAGTATCAGTAAGTGAATGGGTAACCTTCTCCCTTCATACATTGCAAAACAAGACGACTCGTACAGTCTTCCAGTAGCCGCCTCTTCAACAACAGTCGTACCCAGTTCCTGCAGTCATTCATCGCATCCCGTAGCACACAGGTACCTCCTTAAACGTTTCATCGATCCGCATGAGCCACTCCAGCCTTTCCTTTGCTTCCTCACGTTCATCAGGCTCATACAATCGATATCTGAACCAATCTAGAAAGGTCTTTAGATCCCCATAACGATCGTCAATCCATTCTCGCTCAGCATCTGAAAAGTGTCGCTTGGCGAGGTGCGAATTGATGCGATCCAGAAGCAATTCGGGCTCATTCGCGAAGGCGCGTTGTTCAATCAAATCCCCATATCCTCTTTCTTTACGCATTTGACGTCGGTCAGACTCCTCGGCCATGGTCATCTTCATTATAAATGTCCCCTCGCGGCGTTCATCCTCGTTGTACATGTTCAGTTGATGCTCCCGTAGAAACCGGAACTCGTCACCCCAGTTCTCCTTCAGCCAAGCTCTCTCGGAGTCAAACATGCAATCAACATGGCCTCTGTGGAGCTCTGCGAACCGATCTCTCTCGATCTCGGGCCAATACACCGCCAGGATCTTCTCCGTTGGCGGCACATCGGGACCCGGTATAGTACCCCGAGGTAGTTTAGTGAAACTGAGTACGGCATTGTTTCCCCAGCGTCTGAAGCGCGCGATGGGTGAACCTTTGTCTGTCACTTTCCAGATATGGTAGGGCAGCTCGATAGGATCAATGTAGTAGTCCTCAATGATCGGGTGCCCGATTATGTTCCAGGCAACGTCTAGAGAGTGCAGAACGTTCCTCAGGATGAATTCGGTACGTTCGCCATCTAACCACTTGATGGTGATGGCAACAGTCCCGACGCCAATGGCTGTAAGCTCTTCACCCTGGGAATTGGTAAAATGTGTCCGGTAAGGAACGTAGTCGTCCTTAAACCAAGCACGATCACGAGCCACACTGTAAAGTCAATCAGCGGGATGCGTAAGAGGGCGACAGACAAGAGGGATAGTTACTGAACATTGGCAAATGGGATAAATACCCATGCTGGACAGACAACAGGTGGCTCAGGTGGTTGCTCATGTGGTCGCCGTCCCATTTGCCGGCGCGGCCGACGTCGGTTACCGCGAAATGGTCCTGGGTGAGGGCCGCCCGCCGGCTGTTGGTGAGCGTGTCTCTTGTTCCCTTGGTGAGATCTCCGCCGTCTGCGGCCTATTTCTGGAGGCGACATAGCGCCTATAAATGAGGATGAGAATTGACTTTATGGCAGCTGAGGGCAAAGAGCATGACGATAAAATCGTAGAGTGATGATGTTTCAGGACAGTTCAGCGACAACACCCCTCCTTTCAATCCTCAGCTTCGAGCCATTCAACGACAGTCAGATGACCCCGCATTGAGCGATACTGACATTGCCATGAACTCTATCTGATATCGGCCTCATAGATAAACCTCTTGGACGTCTGAAAGGTCCTCGGCTCTGATCCTGGACAGGGTTATGCCAGAGATGCGAGAGGTGTCTGGTGTTACTACTCGTCCGTAATCTGCTGAGTCGTTGAGTCGTCGGCCCAAGGTAGCTCCTCAAGCGCGCGTCTAGCAGCCTTTCTTTCCGCACGTAATCGACGCTTCGCTTTTATGCCCAGCTTCATGCTCGGCTTTAGCGATGTGGAAGTGGCCGGCGGAGTCTCAGTCCAAACCGGCAAATCACACGGGGCATGCGCAACAGCCTCAAGGTAACGAAACAACTCTTTGTCGCCAGGAGTAGCAGTCTCCGGTGTCATCCGTCCATCGCGGACAGCAATCATCAGCGAAGCTTTCAGCACAAAATGAGCATCGTTCCCAGCAGCGTGAAGTTTTGCATAACGGATCCCAAGCTCATCAAGGAGCTTCTCAATGCTGTACCGATAGCACAACTGTAGAGGAAACTGCGCTGTCTTGACTGTATCCAAGACGTACGAGGCTCGGCCCACAATCTTAGGGTCGATATTGTTGAGAACTTTAACCTCCTCCCCAGTCCCATGCCCGACCAAGACGTAATCGCGGTCCTTGGTGAGCAAAGAAATCCGCGATGCAAAGTCCTTGAGCGTCATCAACTCCGTCTCTCCAAAGAGGAAGCTCTTGGCGGCCCATTTGCACGGTCGCGAATCCCGATTAATAAACTGGTAAGACGGGATGGCATCGCGAGGATCATCCGGCTTCTGTAAAAGACACCGAGTGTCAAAAATTGACAAGCCAATGTGGAAACTCTGTTCAGGAGATATGGCTTCGTAGCCTCCTCCCGTGTCGACATCAACAGACAGAAGCAAAACGTCCTTGATGAAAGTGCCGAGCAGGTACTTTCCAATCTGGGGTGGATTATATGGCGAGGTTTGAATGGTCTCGAGGCGATATCCCAGGATTTGTCGGAGAGCAATGTTCTCTTCACGCAGAATTCCAGTGTGCCGTTTCAGCGGCGGGGCCATGATTAATCAAAGTCTTGAAAAGAATACAATGTCCAATGTTAAGTTGGGAATTGACGGGCTGTTTTCTTGACTGAGTGACGTGGCTTGCCATGAAGGTTATCTGAAGCAAAAAGATCTCCTCACCCGAGCTTATCCCTCATCACGATCTTCGGGCTCAGTTAACCCATCAAGGGCCGGGCTGCAACTATAATAAAGAACAGATCTTCAACACATTATAACATCATGACCCGATCTCCATGACAAGGCATGGATCGAGGCCCTTGACATCAACAACAGTTCGGCGCATAAAGGGTATCTTTAACTTCTCATGCATTCATTCATTAATAATTCAGTTAAATATCCAACTCCACTATATCCCATGCATGATCCAAGTTATCCCAACTCCTCGCGCCAAAGGGTATCAGCGCCCCATGCTAGAACCAGCCAGCGCCCGTCGTAGCCAAAAGGCAATAACATATATCGAGATGCTTCCTCCAAATCTCGCTTTTCCAGTGCCTATTCAAAATGTCGTGGTATAGTTCCATCAATTTCACTTATTTACCTCCTCGTCGTGGACCATCCCCATCACAAGGGTCACCTTTGAGCAGCCCGACCCTACGGTCATGCTCACTTCGCAACTGCTTATCCCCAGTTGGGACAAGAGTCTTCTCTTCGAGTCTCTCTTCAAACGCCGGATCACCTGCTCGGAACTTTTCTCGTATGCCTTCAACGCCTGGAGGCGGAGGTGGCGCCACAGCTTCAATGACTTCATCTGGCCAGAGAATTCGATGTGCCTCTTCCACTGTGAGCGGTGGCTCATCGATCTCCTCGTTGTGGTCAACCGTAGGCTTTACAGGAGAGGTCGCAGCCGGCGGTAGATCCACTGGTGTCTGTCGTGGCGTAGTTGGAGTTCCGCTCCTCGTCGATCTCGAGGTGGGTGTTTCAGGTCGTGGCCGTGGTGTCCGCACGGGACTGCCCGCGCTCACCACGGACGGCTCTGTAGATCCCCGGCGATCAGGCCCTCTAGAGAATGAACTCCTGGGCACCGACCGCTGAACGGATGGTGCTTGTGACGAGTACAGGCTATCGTCGTCAGAGTCCGTGTATTCCACATCGTCATCGTCTCCTTCCGTCATAATGGTCATGGCGTCCGCTGTATCGCCTGCTGTTGTCTTCAAGATATCTGATTCCTCCTTGAGCACCTTTTCTTCATTAGTGTTGATAGTGATGGGAATGTGCTGTCTTGTCCCTGCTCGTTTCCGGTCCATGCGCAAGATGTTCCTCATCAAAAAGAGCTCATGCTTCTTGAACGTCTCGTAATACGCCCGGTTAATCATGGCAGCCGCATGAAGATCCTCCAATTCCCCGAGTTCGCACATGACGCGGAGTCGAATGATCTCGGGAAACTCAGTCGCAACACTGTATCCCGGGTCGTTCGCAGCCATGCCACTCAATCCCTTGTTGAGCTGCGTCTGAGGTTCCCGTTCACGGTGTTTCGAGAGAGCCCAGCCATGGCTCTTGCCGCTGATGTCAAATAGCGTCAGGCCCAACACGCTGTTATAGATGTCGTTGATAGACGACCGAAAAGCCGGACCCAGATCACATACACCCCGATGCACAGGTGTCGGTGGTGCCGGTACCCTCCTCAATGCATCAACCATCTGAGCCAAACTCCTAGGCTGTGGCTGTGACTCGGGGAGGTGGTTCAGCACACTTGGTCGCATGATATGCGGCAACAGACCCATCTCATTGTAAACCAGCATCAGCCATCCTAGATTTGTTGCGTCGCACCAATGGCTGCCCTTGGGGCATCTAGGTGTACTTGTGAGCATCATCGGGGTCACGATATCGGATGACAAGCTGTTTGGCTCCGTTGGTGAGCCCCCTGGTTCAACCGAGGTGTGCGTTGGGGCTCTGAGGTATTCCTGAATGGCGTTGACACAGCAGTCATGAACCTGAGCGACCTTGGCGCATCGGACGGCCCAAATCTTGTCCTTGATCTTCTGTGGCCACGGCTTAGCCTGCAACTCCTTTTCGTCGACCAGGTTTAGAATCGTGGTCTTGGACATTCGTGAGAAGAGTTGTCGTAACCCAAAGGCGTAGCTGATCACCAAGAGTCCATCAGGCATGTCGTCGGCACCCTTGTGCATCCATTGGGGCATCCACAGATGTTCCACAACAAGTTCCAGGGGTGATGTGCTCTTGTATCTCATGCAGCACTCGGCGATAGCGACGAATTGCTCAAAACTGATTTCCTTTGGAACCCTCTCATTGTGCATGTGCGCTGCGTGCAAAAGGATCTCGAGAGAACTCAGGCGGTTGAGCTCAACTTGCGGCATGCGGTACAGCTTGACCTCTGATCCATCTTTACAAAAGTACTTTGTCGGGGGTGAAGGTAATAGGGTCGAGAGATCGTCATCGTCGTTGGGATGTAGACTACTGGATTGCCCCGAAAACATGCGAGCAAAGATGGGTGAAGTCTCAGCTAGCATATAAGACGATACTCGAAATCGGAGTGCCGGATCATTGAGACCACATTCAGGAGCGGTGTTTGCGAATTCGAGAACGGCATCACCTCGCTGAGAGATGACATACTCGTTGATTATGCGGTCGGGGGAAATGCCCGATTCGCCGGACTGAAGCATTTGTCGGATCTCGGTCAACTCTTGCTTTATTCTTTCGTAATTGTAGAATCGCATCTCGTACTTAGGGAACTAGAAAAGGTCAGACAGTGTTCGCTAGAGTGAACGACTGAGTAAACTCACGAATTGGGGGTCTGGTGACATGACCCGAGTCACACTGGCATTGCGCATGCGCGCAACAGACTCCTTGCGAAAGGGCTTGTTTGTGAACAAGGCCTCAACCATCTCCGGTGTCGCCTCGCGCTCATTATTCTTGTACGTCTCAATGAGACTCGTTCGACATGCTTCGGCAAGGGACTCGAGGTAGTTCTTCCAATCGCGGACAGCCGTAAGCCAGGCGTCATTCTGGTGAATGCTCTTAACAACACTCCCAGAAACAACCTCGGCCAGACTCCTCCCACTAAAAGAACTCCTCGTATCGTATATATGACCGGGACTGCGGGGAGATTCGACGGATGAATCGCGACGATTCGGAACTTCGCCCCCGCCGCGGGCGCGACGAAGCTCGTCCGTGAGGATTTGTCGGCATAGCGTAGCGCATTGCTCCTTGACCTTTCTAAGATCATTGTAGGCAGCGTCGACGTGGTCGGGCGAGGAGGGGATGTTGCGCGGCATGCGCCCGACCAGGCTCTGGAGCTGGCGGATGTTGGATTCTTGTGTTTCGAGGGGATTGGCGGAATGGGACTCGGGTGATTTGGGATTGAGACCTAGGTCTGAAGTACTCGTATCGGGGGCATGTTGACTTATTATCTTGATCTGTCGCATGGCACACATTAGTCGGGTTCGCCAAGCCAAGTATCGCTTCGACGTACCCCTCTCCTTGGGATCTTGTTGATCAGAGAGTTCCATTTCCGCCCAACGCCCGGGGGAGGGCCATCGCTTGAAGTCCTCGAGACCATGTCGACCCTCATAGATATGTTGGAGTGTTTGTCGCCGGAAGGAACGGAAGCCCGGTGGGATCGCATCAGGCCTCGAGGACTTGCACAGCTTCAGTGCCGGCGCGAGACCACTGCATCATAGCCACCGTGAGGAAGCGAGGCCTCTCCGGGACGAGAGGGGCCGGAAGACTGCTAGAGACTTGCCCGCGTGATCTCGTGACTATCGTATCTTGAGGTTTTCGGCCTTGTTCGGTGGCGACGCAGTGAGAGGCCGTCGAGCCGGGGTCGTCGGATCGTGGGCGCAGGAGGGACGGGGACTGATAATCGCTAGTTATCGGCGGTCGCTGTAACCCCACAGTCTCCGGGGATCTGGGTCACGATGAAGCAAGCGGCAAGGCTGACAGGGTCTACGAAAGACGGCAGAATATCCCCAACAGCAAGACGCTCACTTGTAGAGGAGAAATACGGCAGCCAAAAGGTCAGGTCGGGATTCGGCTATTGTCGTCGTTTCCAAAGGACAGGGCCTGGGCTGAGCGGAAGGCGGAGAGAGCAGGTGCCAAAGGTCGCTAACTAGCGGGCTTGGGCTTGGTGTGAGACTGGGGTTGAAAACCGGGGCGATTAACTGGAGTAGGACTATCGACTGTCTGGACTCTGTTAGCGGCCTTGCGACGACGAGGCTTCAAGATGCGCAAGGACACGCGTTTGTAGATGCACGCGCTGCGGGTGGGATGAGACGGGGTGAGTGAAAGAGGAGAGGATCGGAGGCTGAGATGAGATGGATGGTGAGCGCGGCTGGATGGCTTCTTGGCTCGTACTGTATGGATTGTGACGTATGGCCTGAAAGCCGGGGGTTAGACTGGGGTGGATGCACAGTGCTGGACTCAATCAACACAGTACGGACCGTTCCGGGCGACTCTCTAGGACTGAAGCCAATAAACATACAACGACTTGTATGAAGGACTCTAGAACTTTATATCCCTTCCAGGTGCTTTAATAGACGATCCGTGGGGTTTCGTCGAAAGGGGGGCAGCCGTTTATTCTGTGGAGTACAGGCTGCCGGCTCTTGCTGCTCTCCAGCTGCTACGAAAAGAGCCAAGACAATTGCGGGGGAGGAGACGTTCAAGTCCTAGGTCACGAGACTGCCCTGATCTATATCTGTAGCTCTCAATGACAAGTGTCGTTTGACTAATGTAGAACCATAGTTCTAGTATCTCGTCTCCTCTCGCTCTACTCTGCTGTAAACATGATTGTTCACTCCAACATGTGTTCCTCGGCTTGCCGTCATGGCTCGTGAAAGCTCCACCATGATGGATGGTGGACTAGGCCAGACCAGCTCACGGTCAAGGTACCCGCCAGAATCTCGTGTCAATGAGGCAGCCTCAGGCAGGGTTGCAGAAATAGATGTATAAAGTATTCAATCAAGTCTTCAATATAGTCATTCTCGTAGTTCGTATTCACTCAACTCGGAAGATGCCTAGTCGTATTCAAGGCAGCTCTATATGCACCTCGTCCAAACAGCATCACAATCAGCTGCTGGCCTCACTCCAGCTCAGACACTTGTCACAGCCCTAAATTCAGCCCTTCACAAATACCAAGACCAGAAACCGCCTCGTTGAAACATAATGTCTCATATCTCGCCCCTCCATCTTCACCAGATCTCCCAAGGCCCTAAGGCCCTCTCTCAACCCCTGCCAACACCCACTTTTAGGCTCCGACATAAAAACAACTCTGATTCCTCAAAACATCCCGTCCGCCCTGTCTCTTCTCCAGACTTTTGCGAGGCCCTCTTGTCTGGGGCTTGACGGCACTATTTTTGGAGTGCCGGTCTATGTACCGGGTGTTTCGTGGGGCTGGCCGGTGGGCGGGCCAGGTGGTGTTTGGGGGCCGGATCATGGGTGAAGCCAGGCATCATGGTGATATGCCTCAGAATGGAAATCTGGCCATGGCGTTGACAGCTTCCATTGGTACGTATGAGTATGGATTAGAATATCGACACGAGCTCTTGCGGGTACTGGGTCTAGACCTGAAGATCCTCACTATGCCTTGATTTAGGAACAAATATCGTGAGATATAGGGTGAATGTGGGATACGACAGTTTAGGCAACGAAACGAATTATACCTACCTAAGCATTTACGACATTGACATGCTAATTATTGGCCAGGACTTTACTCTCCTTCTTATCCTATCTGTGCAAGAGATAATTCCTGTGGCGTGTTTGTCACATGAATCACAATTACAGCTCAACTACACAAACATCACCAGCAAAGGACGTGGTAGGACAACATAGCACGCGGCAGTAAGTGGCCCGGAAGATCTGGAAATACAAAATTATGTCATAATTCTCATTCTGATTCATAACCGTCCATGAAATCCCATCCCAAAACACCTTCAAACACCCTCATCCCCAAACACAAACACAACCCTCCCCTTCTCCTTACTCGTCCACCCCTCCTCAACATCCTCCATCTTTACCTTCCGGATCCCCTCATCACCCTCCCCAACAAGCACATTCAACATCCCCGGTACCTCAGCCGCGTACTCCTCCAACTTCCACGCTCCAGGCCCGGCACCTCGAACACTGACATCTCGTCGTCGGAGACCTGCTGCGGGGATCTGGGCTCCATCGCCGGCCATGGCGCCGATTCCTACCCATGTGAGGGCATTCTTTGCTGAGGCCGTTGAGGCGCTTGTCAGGTACGCTGCTGGCCATGGACCATAGAGGTAGTCAAGCACCACATCAGCATCCGCCGCTGCAGAAAAGTCGGTAGACGTAGGCGGATCTTGTAGAACGATGGTCGAGTCGAGAGAAAGTGCGGCGAGAGCATCCTTATTACGAGCCGCGCCGACGACTTGTGTTGCTCCGAGAGTGCGGGCAACTTTGATTGCGATTTTTCCGCTTGCACTTGTAGCCCCCATGATGAGGACCTTCCATGGCTTTCCCTCCTTGCCTTTCCTATCCTTGAGGAAATCCACCCGCTTCTTGAGTCCCATCCAGCTACTCATGACAGGATTCATAAGCGCAGCTGCAACAACGGGATCAACGCCATCAGGCAGCTCCGTGACATCCTCAACAGGGACATTAACAATCTCAGCAAAAGTACCTTCACCGGTAGTAAGTGTGGTAAAGTAGGACTTTTTCCCTGTTGAGACGTTGACGCCGACGCCATCGACTCCGGGGACGTGGGGGAGAGAGGTAGAGGTGTAGTGCTTGCCCGCGGCTCGAGTGCGGACAAGTTGGTGAAGGCCTACAGCGAGAACTCGGATCTCGACTTCTTCTTCGTGGATGGGAGTGGGAGGAGGGAGGATCCTCATGGGCTTTGGTGCAGCGCCCCATTCCGCGACTTCAGCAGAAAGCATACTCATTGTGAAAGTCGTATCTCGTCTGGTCCTTAAAATTAATAAAGATTGTGATAATTAAAGCAAAAACAAACGAGACAAACCCATCTCTTTATACCCATCCCCTCATACCATCAAACGTCACCTCCAAACCCAATTCTCCCCGCCCTCAATCCCATATCCCGCACACGCCGCAATATCCGTCCAACACCGTAGGCACCACTTCAGCCGCTTTTGCCTAGCCCACCCTCACACTAAGCCTTACTAATGAAACCATTCCTTTGATAAGCTCTGACTACAGATCTTTGTCAAGGCATGCAAACGCAACCTTGCAGCTCGCATACTCAAGGTATTGATGATTATCAGATTGTGACTGTTTGTAGCCTGCGACATGGTTAGCTGCAGTGAGGAGATGGCAAGCAAGAGTCATCTTGACGGAAGTTCGGCATCATGCCTCTCTCAACTGGCTCACACATACACCGAGCTGCCCCGCTCAAAGAAACCTCAAGGGTTCTCGAAGCGTGTCGTGAGACATTCGGAGCGGCTTAATCTGGTGTGACTAGACCTACAAGATAGGGCTGAGATCACAATTAATTGTACATCACCAGCAAGGCACTTATATCCTAATTCACTACCATTCTATAAACATTCATTCATTAAAACTTTCAGGTATGTCATTTTTGTGCTCCGTTACATCTGTCATGCTTTTTCTGACAACCATCTAAAAACGCTGGTCCCTCCTCTGCCTGTGTAGCCTGTAGATATAAACTGGCTTCCCTCCCTCCCCCCTTCCAGATGGGCTTGTCTCGATGCAATTGCAACTGTATATAAAACGCCTCCCAACCGGCCATGTGTAGAAAGACGCCAACGCCTCTCCTTTCCATCCTTTCTTTGCATCCATCCATTCATCCATCCAGCCGGCCATTCAGTCATTCTTCCATCCGTCCCCTCCCCTCCCAGCCCACCCCCGTCCGTGCCAATCTGTAACTGAACACCACTACCCGATGTGGTATAAGTTGCTGTGATGATGGCTTCCCTCGACATCAATCGTACACACTTGCTACACATGTCAACATCTTCCACCTATCCGGATCCCATCCAGAATAGTGTCCAACGTGTCCCATTCTCGTTCCGCGAAGCATCCCTGACATGGCGTCGGTGGCTAGGAGCGGCGCCGAGGCTGCAGTCCGTCCTATCCAAAATCGTGATATGCCAGTTGATAAATCAAGCGATCGTCGTCGTCCCGGGCGAAACCCCGTGAGGTGTCCTTGCCACCTTGGGTTGCGTGTCACTACACGAGATATTCCATCGGTAGTTCCCGGTGTGGCATCCACTTCAGCCTCCCTTGCGCTCGGATTCAAGCTTGGGAAGCTGCTCGCCGTTCCCTTGATTTGCGGCATTGTTGGCACCCTTCTTCTTTCCCTTGCCCGCCTTTTGCCAGCCTCCGTCGCTTTCGCTCTTAGCCCCGCGAGTATGGCCGTTCTCTCGAACTCCGTTGACCTTTTGAGACTGAGCATTGGCTTTCTGGCCCTTTTGAGGCTTCGATCCATCCTGGGAATCCTGCACTCGCTCCTCAGGCTCCTGGCCTGTCTTGGAACCATCTCCCCGTGATGCCTTGGGGCTGTTCTGTGCAGCCTGTTTGTCTGATTTCAAAGGTCCATCGGGCTTTCGAACCACTGTGGGAGAAGGAGTACGGTTCTCATACACTGGAGACAGATGAGCAAAATCTTGACCAACAGGACGATCAATCCGGTGCTCAGCGATGGCGAGGTCAAGCGGCGCAATTCCATTTTGCTGACGAGACATCAAGCGCTGTCGAGTCGAGGGCGACAGACGTGACGTTCCCGCCACGGGTTCTTGCGCGAGATTGGAGGCGGCCATGTAGTATGTGTTCATCATCAAGATGCGCTCTCGAAATGATGGATCATCAGCTGTTGATGATGGGGCCATATGCGGTGTGGTTCCGTTTGCTACAACAGGAACTTGGTTAGGAACCCCTTGCTTGGCCGTTGCCTCTTCTGGTGCACTTGACGAGACAACTGGACCGTCAACAGGGTAACTTGGCACACCGTTTCCAACGTTGATCTGGAGAGGGTTCTCAAAGTTGGACGAGTCTTCGGAAGCATTGCTCTCTGAGCCCGATGGTTGACGTGGGCTCTGGAGGACACTCGTCTTCAGACATGACCCATTGACAACCAAGGGTCGAGAGAGATTCTTGTTCTGGCTTCCAGGGAAAGGGGCCTGTGCAAGTGGCGCCGAGGCCGTACTTGCGGAGAAAGCTCGCGAGTGACCCAGTGGCGAGGGCGATCGGGATGTCCTTCTCATCCTGCGGTCAAGAATCGTCTGCGGGAGTTGATCTGTCGAGAGCCGTCGACGTCCTGGGCTGGAGTTTTGGCTGAGATCTCCAAAGGCAATACCGTTGGAGCCAGGCTGCGACTTTTGAGACTGTTTACCAGGGCTGGGGCTCTCTGTCAAGTAAAACGCGGCATACTTGCCCTCTTCCGACTGTGGAGAGTCGGTATGAGCCTTGGGGGTCTCGTCGAAATCTGTGTCGTCAGACATGAAACTCGGGATTGGAACACCATTCATGCTACGAGGGTTGGCATTGCCATTGACTTGTTGGTTACCAAAGTAGTTTCCAGCTGCCTGTGCTGACGGAGATCGGGATGCGGGCTGAGAGTGTGACCGTAGAGTACCGTTTGCTGAGCCACCTGCTTCATTGTTCGCTCCTGATCGCTGCATGGAACGACGAAAGTCCTGGGTTGCGCCATTGGTACTAGCTGGAGACGAAGGGTACGTTCCGTAGCCCCCTGCCTGAGGAAAGAAGGGCCCTCCCAGAGTCATTCCATACATGGCATACAAATCAGGTCGCAGGGGCGCACTCAGTGGCGGGTTGTCGAAAGAATTCGTCCTCGAACGGTCCGTAGACTGCTGCTGCTGCTGTTGCTGATTGGAGCCTGTGCTGGTCGACATCCTCTGCTGCTGCTGGTTCATGGCCTGAGCCTGAGCCTGAGCCTGGGCCTGGGCTTGGGCCTGTTGCTGCATAAATGCTGGTGACTGAGAAGCGTACAAAAGCCGCATGTTCTCCTGGTGATATGCTGCCATCTGAGTCATGAGATCTTGCTGTGTATACTGGAACTGCTGGAACTGCGGGTTCTGATACCACTGCAAATCCTGCTGCATGTTGACCTGCGGGATATACACGTTATTGGTGTTGTTGTTGGCATCATATTGAGGGACGCCAGACGATGCTCGCCGATTCCCCCCGGTGTTCCGGTGAAAATTGTTGTTGTGTCGTCCGCCGCGATGGTTTCCACGACCGCCACGTCCAGAGTGTGTCTGCGACGAGCTGCGCAGTAGGACAGGTCGAGATTGTGGTGGTGGTCGGGACCATACTCTCTCCTCCTCTTTGGGAAACACGTACGTTTCGCACGCTTCTTCCAAATTCGCCACTGAAATCAAATCGAACGCTCGTCGAAGTTCCATATGCAATCCCCGGAACGAGTACTCGTCGGCCGTGTTCCCGAGGTTACGGGAGGTGTTGAACGGCTCTTCGACGCAGAGCTGGTTGTTAATCGCATAGTGCCACTTCTTCTCATGCTTGGTAACTAGCTTTCCGAGACGGACCGAGAGAACGTGCTTATCGTAGTCAAACTCGTGCGCGTAGAAGCGAAAGAACTGGAACAGAAGCTCGGCGACCGATGACTTGTTCTTGTTTCCAAAACCAGATAGCTTCTTGAGATCGTCGGCAAAGTCGGGCATGGTACCGTCCGGCCTGGGAAGCTTGTGTGACAGCTGATGCAGCGCGGGGAGGACAGGAGGGCTTCGGAGCTGCAGGAACGCGATGATCAAGCAAATCCAAGTGTAAGAACTCAATGTGCCGCCAAACGCTATCAACGGTCAGCCAGATGTGCAATAAGAGAAAAAGTAAAACGTACCCGCATCATTGACTATCCTCCTCCGGGTCCAGTACTTGACAATCATGGCAAGCTCACGAACTCGAGGGTCGGTGTCTATATATGTTCGAACCATGCGGGTGTTCTCGAGAGCAAGGGTGTTGTTGACATTCATGTCGCAGGCAAGGCCCAGTTCAGGATCCCAGATCTTGACAATTGGCACCTTGGCTGCCGAAATGCAGACAACCTTTTCCATCCCCCCTACATATTGTCAGCGGGTTACAGTTGGTGGGTGGGTGAGGCACATACGTCGCGCCAGGAGGTCGGCGATCATGCAAACGCCCTCCAATTCGCGCCACGAGGTGGTGATGCAGATATCCACTAGGTCCGGTTAGATGTGGCTTACGAGAAATGCGGAGTCAACAAACCATCAGAGTCATCCGAACAAAGGAGATTTCCAGAAGAACCAAAGAGATGAACACGGATGTCGTGTCCAGGCCACTCGTCGTTGAAGATCTTTTCAAGCTTCAGCACCAGCTTCTTGCGGTTCTCCTCGACAGCGGCAGTGGGCAGCAGTCGGTCATAGACCTCTCGCATGTCGGTCGCCAACTTTCGCTCCTCATCCTCGGTCAGCTTGCTTTTTACCGTCTGCAAGTCCAGCTTCTCAAGACGGTCGTTGCCGACCGAATAAGGTATCCTCCTTCTGGAGTTGATCTGGGCCGTCTCATACTTGCAGCCCCCTAATCGCGGCGGCAAGGGTCGCAGCGACGGCAGGGTGCTATTTGTCTCGGAGTAGGCGGATCGGGGGGAGTGATTGTTTGTGCCGGTGGGGGACGGCTCGCGATCCTCAAAGGAGAATTGACGAGCGTGCTGATGAGGCGTCGAGGGCACAGAGCTGGAATGGGACTGAGCCGAGGGCGCGGATCGACGGGGCAGAGGCCTCGATGAGTCGGCCGACTGTTTGGAAGGCATCTTGGACGGGACCTCCTTGGAGGTTACAACCGAGCGACTCTTGTCTGAGTTCTGATGTGACCTGCTCCCATGGCCTCCACCTGTGTTCCCCTTACCGGCGGATGCGTCCTTGAGCGACACCTTGCTAGAAGATCGCGACCTGGGCGCGGCCTGGATATGAGGAGCGGAGACGACGGGAGGGAGCGGCGGCGTCTGCAGGCCGCCTCCGCGGGCGGGCGAGATGAGCTTGTTGTAGTGTAGGAGCTGGGCGTGGTAGATGTTGGACTGCTGGGGGAGGAGAAAGGGGAGGAAGTCGAGATGAGAGTGAAACTGGGTGGCGGCCGGGTCGGGAAAGAAGGAGCCGTCGGCGGCGGGAGCGCTGTGGCTGCTCGTCGTCGAGGCCGTCGTCGAACTCGTCGTGCTCGATGTTATCGTCGAGACCGTGTTCCAGGGACTTGGGGGATAGGGATGCTGAGGTTCGGCCGTTGTGGTCTGGGTGTCCATATGGAGCAGCGAGCGAGCCCCGGGACAGTTTCAAAGGAGTGCGGGGAGGCGACAACAGGCGTCGACGAGGCTGTCTTGTCTATAGAGAGTCTTGGGGGTATTCTTTTGAGGCGGACAAGAGATGATGGAAATTGAGAGCAAAGAAGCGACGGCGAGAGTATTGAGGATCGGAGGGAGTGTCTAGGCCTCTGTATCCGAACCAATGCACAGTCAAAGGAGCAGGGGGCGAAGATGACCACGAGGCGCTGTTCGGGGAAAAGCCAAGGCGGACGGCGGAAATAGCGAGTATGAATCGTCGAGACAAAGCAGTTGAAGCAAGGCTACTGGCGAAAATAAAAAGAACCGTCGTTGAAAGGAGGCAAGAAACGAGAACAGCGCCCTTTGAAAGATTCGAAGAGCCTGTGTGGTGGTTGTTGTTGTGCGAGGACGAGGCAGCTTTTTTTGGTATAACGGCGAAGCCCCGGGGCGCGGGATAATGATGGAAATGGAGGATTCGAGGATGGTGAACGGATGGACGTGGACTGTGTATGGGACCGAGACGCTTGCTTGTGGGGGGGTCCTTGCCAAAAGGGGTCGCTCGGTGCGAGGGACGCCGGTTCACCTCGTGGGGGAGAGGGCGAATGGGTTGGTTTCTGAGATGATGCGAAGGAGAACGGAGGCGAGCAAGTAGTACCGAAGAAGATGGGGAGAGAGAAAGATGATTGAGAAGAGAAAGAAACAAAGCAACAAATGTGAATGGAGTAGTAGAGAGCCAAGAGGGACAGGCTGAGTGAGAGTGAGAGAGACACACACAAGCAAGAGAGACCGAGCCCGTCCTCCAAGTGCCGTCCTTTTTGGTGCAGTGCTTCTGGCTGGATCTGGGTCTGGGATTGGGATTGGGGTTCCAATGTAGTATGGCGGATGCAGGTGTGCTGCTGTGTGTGAGCTGTGCGTGAGAGGACGGGAGTTAGTACAGTTGGTACCTCATAAGTCTAGCAGATGGGATGGCCCACCCTCCACTGAGCGAGCGAGTCGATGGGAGGAGTGCCACTGAGGGGAGGGGATTGTCCATGGATGGACTGAGGTGCGAGGACGTTGGTTTGCACACTGTACTTGCATGAATTGTCCGGTATTATCATCATGTGCAACGGCCGTCCATCCCTCGGAGTCCCGGGATAAGCTCACTCATTTCGATGTTCGCTCTCACCTCAGCGGGGGGGAGGCTGGGCATTTGCCAGTTTGTCCCGTCCTGCTCATGACACAAACTCGGTACATTTCTGCTACCAAACGCACTCTCGTCAGAAAGTGTGGAAAGCCAACACTGGCCGTTTAGCAGGGCAATCCATCACAGTGCCGGTACAGTGTTTCCATGACCCGACACGGGCAACATCCATCCGCCCACGCGCGGGCGGGCCAGAAATCCAATGGGCGTCTGTGCCGGTAGCGAGCGGAGGGGTTCCACTGCCAAGCGACAGCCTCAGCAGGGCTCCTCTAGCAGATGGAAAAAGGGACGCGGGACACCCGAGAGGGCGATGGGATGGGATAGGCAATATGAGATGGTAATTGAAGGCAAAGGGGGGTGAAAGGGAATCAGTAGGTTCCTCCAGCAGTAACAGGGCGCAGAACGGGGCCATCTCGAGCCAGGCCCAGCTTCCGGCGTGTGCTAGGGGCGACATGCCCCGTGGAATAGCGAGATCCACCCGCCTGTCCATGCCTACTGTACCGTCCAGCGCGTGGCAGAAGCCTCCGCAATAGTTAGCGAAGCAATAGGGCCACTGGGATCCATGGACAAAGCCCGTCAGGGATTCCAAAGAAGAGAGATGCACTGTGTGCGGTTCGTTAGAGGTTGCGACTGTGCCATTGGAGCGTTGGCCGAGATGACGGGACGGACGCGGGCTTGCAGATGCACCCAAGATTGCCTTCTCCTTCTCTACCTAGGTGCACCTCAACCCATCCCATCAAACCCAAGATACGTACGGATATTCCTCCTCCAAACAGGCCATCCTCTTGTCAATTTAGAACTGCACTTCCTGGCTAGCGTTGTGTCAGTCTCTACAGGGGCCTTGGCCGATGCGCTGCCGAACGGGGACCCTGATTCTGTACTCTCTCTGGCTCCCCTGACGCGCCCCGTGTGTCCCACCCGCGTCTCTCCCATGGATGACTCCTGGCCGTGATCCATGCCTTGGGCCCTTGCCCTGTTGTGCTGCTACGTCGCCGCCAAGTCACGACCCGTCCCTGGAGAGGAGCTTGATCCAGAGGAACAATCTCGGCCGGTACCTCTCCGACCGGTAGCCAGCCATCAAGGAGGCTCTCTCTTGGTGAGGGCGGGTTCTGGATTCCGAGGGGTCGGTCCTCCAATTCCCCTCAAACTCAGGACTCTCCTTTGTTTTCTTACGGGAGGAGGATTTACTGTCTAAGGAGACATTGGACCGGCAGAATCAGGTACCGCGACCGGTGCGACCGATAGATGGAAAGCCTAGAATTAGCAATTAGCAAGGTCCTTTTCTGCTGCCGCCGTAAATGTCCGTCCGTGGCGGGTAATTATTGAGATGCAGCCTCAAATGAACAAGGCCGACAGCGCATGATAATTGCGGAGAGACGTGCAGCTACAGCTCCAGCTTGTCTTGCCATGTCCCATTGTCGGTGTCGGCATGTGCGTGTGTGCGGAGGCGAGACACCTCGCGTGTCCCCTTTTGGGATTCAAAGGGCGACGTTGGAATCATATTCTTTACTCTGCAGGTATGTAGCTTGTTGGTTCCTTTCTTCTTCTACTTTTATCATATCATGTTCTACTGAGACCAAACCACAAGATTTCCCGCTCTCGATTGTCAAAAGTGAATCAGATTTGATCGAATACCCGCACTCGGACCCGGCCGTTCCCTTTACTTTCTTTGAGGGCCACTCGTATAAATGACGGGAGGCGAAAATAGACAGACAAGCAAGAAGATTTGAATGGAATTGATTGATGAGCGAGCCCACTCGAGGCCCGTGTACCTGCTCCTCCTCCTGTTGCTCCTGTTCCTTGTCCTCCCTATTGCGGTCCTGCCAGGCCAGCACACGGATGGCCCATCTCCAGTGCCCGTCATCTGTCACGCCCGGGGCGCGTCAGGTCAAGGCTCAGAAGCCAAGCAGGGGTTGGTTGTTGTCGCGAAGTTGCGAGTGAGCGGAGGCGGGCCTGGGCTGCATCGTTGACGGCGAGGATGCTGAACCTTCAGCAACCGACAAAGGTTGTTTTCTCTCTCCTTTTCCAGAGAGCAATGACGATCTCGAATAGTCAGTCCCCTCTCTTCAACTCTGTCGTCACGGGCTGGCTGAACAAATCTTCATTCTCCACCAAACTATCGAATTCTCAGGGTTCCAGAGGCCAAGTTATCGATTTGACTTTTGTTCGCTACTCTGGAGTCTAGCGCTGTCCCTAACTAATTGACGCGCCGCCGGAGGAGAGAGACACACCCCCTCTTCCCATTTCCCACTTGCTCCGGGGACCGGTCGGTGGTACGGGGAAATGGACCGGGGGGTCAGTTGGTGTTGGTGCGGCTGCTGCGTGTGTAGCACAGGCTATGTATCAAAGGGAGAGAGGGGATTGATCTACAGCGTCTATCCAAAAGGTGCACCTCGTATCGTGCAGTCCAGTTCAGTTCAGAGGAGACTGACCATGTCTCATCGATGCCCGCCTCTTACACTTTGATATTGCATCCCAGGACCTGACCTGGCCCCATCGTCATACCTCTCGGATCAGACTCGTGTGGTCATTCTCCCTTCCTGGCCACCGCCAGGCTTTCTGAGCCATCCCTTTTCTGCAGCGTTAGGTTCTCGTCTCGATCGAATTGGAAAAGGGTTATCAGAAATCCGATCCGCCTCAAGAAGTAAAGCAACAAAAAAAAACAAGCTCGTCCCTTGCACCCGTGGATGCGCCGCCCTGCGAGATGACGGCAACGCGCAAAGGGCCGACGCGAGGCTACCTTTGAGCTGGTCGTATTCCTCCCGCCATAGGTTTCGTATTCTATCTTTACCCACGGATACAGCACATGCGTATTCTCCGTATCTATTCCTGGCGTTCACGCTGACCTGCTCACTCAGCAAAAGAGTATCGGATCTCTGTCAGCCACGTCCAGATCACGAGGCTCTCGTCAAAGCTCGAGATCCCAGGCCGTTTATAGTCCCACGAGTAGATCAGACTATTCACAGGCCACATAGTCTAGCCGGTGTCTCTTTTTTCCCTCCTCTCCCGCTTACCAGCTCAGCCCAGCCCAGCCCAGCCCATGTTCGGATTTCCCGATGGCGCACTTGCAAACGCCTCGCGGCCGCCATCTCAGGTCGGGTACAACCACACATTTTCAAGAGACGGTTCCTGAAGCACAGTGTGTGGTGCAGCCACTCAGCGCCCAGGCCCTGTTTCTGCTTCTGCTTGACTTTCTCGTCCCACTGAAGCTGACTTCAGGCTGACGATACGTGGCTGACGGTCTTGCATTGATGCGCAGGTGCGAGCGAAAACTCAATTGCATCGACTTACCTGATGCTGATGCAGCCGGCTGGCTGAACGAACGACCCGACAGGACAGCCCCAACCATCTTGGTTTCTCTTCTTCTCTTTTCGTCTCGTAATGTCACCTTCTCAACTGATGCCTTGCCTTGTTTGTTTACTTGACCATGATTCATAGTCTCGAAGCATGCAAGCAAGGCTCAGCGTATTTCGATACTGTGAGGCATTCGCCTTGTTTTGTTTCGCATCCACGTGCAATTGAGGCTTGCAAACACCAATCTTGAGCTATCTTGGCGACCAAGTGGTCATTTCACACTCGAGCTCAGCTGAATCGTTCCAGGCCCGTTGGGATGAAAGCAAGCGCTTTCACCTTGGCCAAAATCGCCTAGTTGGGATCGATAACGCAGGCCTCAATCATCGCCCCCTGGTCACTTTACTGTCGATAGCCTGTTTGACCGGCACTTGACAGTTCACGTGGCTTTCTTTTCTCTCCGACGCGTCTGGAGCTGACTGGTCCAGTGGCCGTTTGCCGGTTTCACCACTGCCGGGGCTGGTGATGGCGAAATATATATCTCGTGGTATTGGATCCAGCCTGACGCGGGCAACCTAATAGACCAGCCTCGACGGGCATGACCCTTGCTGAGCAAACAAGATGCTTGTCTTTTCTATTTGGCTAGATCAAACGTCAGTCTTCATCCGGCTCAGCTGGTCCCTTTGTACGACATGAAAAGCAGGCAGGGAAACAGATCATAGCCGGCCACTGCCCTGCTTCAGAATGTTGGGTGTCTCGGCTAAGATCTGTATTAACCCCTGGTGCAGCCTTGGCTTTCACCTTCGACTTTCGAGACGTCCAATTCCTTCAGAGACATGCCGAGTTTTGCATATGATTGGAAAGTGTCCTCTCCTCGCTTCGTTTACTAACCTACCCAGGTCCTGAGTCCGAGGATCACAACCTGAAATGGACACCTCAAACGTAGACATTCGGCCCCGATGGCGACATTCCTCTGCTCGGTTGAGACAACTTGAAGCCATCTTTGCCAGCGTGGCAAATATATCGCCTTGACCAAGCCGGATCACTAGCCATCGGCATGCCACGTCACAAACCAGGGACAACTTCAAACCGCCATCAGGCACAACTAATTTCGTTGTCGATCTTGGTATTTCTAGTTCAACCTAGGCCCAGTAGGTTACGTTTCAAGGCATGCATTATCTGCTAAATGATCAAGGAAATACGTGCAGGTTGTCACTGAGTGGATATACGATGCAAGTTGCTCCGTAGTCTCCTCTGCAGGAGGCGAATGGCAGTTGCGGCTCAATCAGGGTATCGAAACTGGTTTCTTGCTTGTACTTGGCAAGCCCTGAAAAGGAGTGTCCTGCAAACTATGGCAAGGCACCATGACTGCAGTACTGAACCGCCCAAGCTCATTGCCTCTTGGTGTTGGAACTAAACCTGGGCTTGGCGTATGGCGTATATCTCAAGATACCTTTCGATGGCAACAAGAGAGCGACCTTTGGCCTGTCCGGTGCGTTGGAATCCTGCTAATGGGCTCGAGTTGAGCCACTTCTCTACAAGCAAAGCTTGACCGGCTCATTGGCTATTCGGTCATTACAAACTCTCCAGTAATTGCCCACAACGCGGAGTCGGCCGCTTCTGCTACGGTGTTCGGCGTAGTTGTACGGACTTTGTCACATTTGACAGCGGGGATTTTGCGACATGACAAGAAACGGTCCACTCATCCAAGGACAGGCTATCCATCAAGAAGCCTAGGGTCCCCCGCAACTACAACAACATCCGTACGATGACAACATTCAGTTCCGTACAGATCGTCGGCCCTTGGATCTGTGAATACCGGACTGGGCTTCCTAGGTGTGTTCGGGAATCTGTGGGGGAGGATCGGATCGGATCGGCTAGGTCATCTCGAGTCGCTTATGTCCTCGACAAGCGATGCCAGGTAGGAGAGGGCGGGACCAGATGAACTAGGTACTGGACTTGATTCTGTTCTGTGGAGTGGAGAACCGGAAGAGTTGGTCATTCAGCAATTGACGTTGACTGCAGCCTGACCATCTGATACACCATGCAGTTCATATACAACTTCTATGTAGCTCTACTGTTATGGTCACATACACAATCATACAATGTAAATGTCGAGGAAAACGCTTGCTATGCCAACAAAATCCTAGCCCCATCTTCAAGCTCCATCACATCATCTGCCCTCATGGCCTTGCCACCCCAAATAACAGTCCCAGTCCCATCGATGGCAAAAGCGCCAGCCTCTTGCCATTTATTCCCCATGACTGTCAAGGGCCCATCCTCGTCTTCGTCGTCGTCATCCAATGCGGCGACCTTCTTCGGGGCCTTCTTGTCGTCAAGGCCCTTCCTCTGAATGGCCCCGGCCACCTTTTCCCCTAGCCACCCCGTCTCCTTCCAGCCCTGGACCTGGGTGGTAGGGTTGAAGAGATACCACATGCCGCCGGTGCCCAGTCCCCAGGCTGCGTACAGGGCTCTGTCCTCGTCGATGACGACGCGGACACCCCAGGAGCCGCCGAGGAGGGATACCCACTTCTGGGTGGCCTGCTCTGAGGCATGCGAGACAGCTATGCAGGTGAGGGCGTCACCGTAGCGGTTCGACAGAGTCCGCAAGTTGATGAATGTCTTTTGTGCGACTTTTTTTTTAAAATGTCAGCTGATGAGTTGTAAAGAGTTACTAAGTGAAATGAAGAGAATGTCGTGCAGAGACGGAAAAAGTAAAGGTGCAGCATGGACGTGGGGAACAGGGAGATTTGACAACATACACGCGCAGCCAACGCAGCGCAGAAAGACGAGCAGCGTCCTCCTCCTACCGCCGAGCACGATCCTCCTCTCCCTGTCGACGGGCGCCTTGTCCCCGATGCCCGGCACACGACCGACGGCCACGGACGGGGGCGGAGGGTTCAGCCAAGGCTGGACAGTGAGCGGCAGAGATCGGATCGACATCCAGGATCCCCTCTGAGGGGGCTGATCATCCTGGTTTGACTTGGAAGACGACTTTTCTGGCTGCTGCTGAAAGTCAAGGATGTCGCGAGGGATGCCGGCCTTCTTGAGGGCCAGCTTTGTTGTGAGGCTGGAGAGCATTGGGTCGGCTGAAGAGTAAGAAGGTAAAAAAAGGACAGAGTGATACAAGGACAGGGGTAAAGAGATACAAGGGGTGGACACAGGTTGAACAAGTCAGCTCTGCAGTTGCGGCTCGGGCCGAGGATGACAAGGGTTGTGATTCAGCAGCAAATGATGAAAAGAAAGACAGAAAGAGATTGTAATCAGATCACATCATGGCCCTGGTGTTGAAGACGTGGAGTTGAGGCTGCAGGTGTTGTGAAACTTCCGGAGGCCGCTAGTGAGGAATGGGGGCTTGCGCACGAGCCTGGGCATGGCCTTGCAGTTGATGGTTTGATATGAAGAGGAGAGTTTTTACGACCAATGGAGGGAAAGCTATTTAAGAAGATGAAATGCTTTGGTTGGAATAAAGCTGGGTTGACATATGTAGGTAGTCAGGGCGCATGCAAAAAGTGGCCATGTCGCCAAGTCTCAGTCTGCCACGATGGATACTAACATAGAAGTAGGCGAAAGATTTCCCCGTATAAGCACCCAGTACCGCAGTACTGGGTAATTACAACGATAAACCAACTTAGTTCAGTTCGCCTGCTCAGGATTTCTTCCAATTGACTACTTCAGTCGTCTCGTCATTCGATCCCACTCTCATAAGATAACAGCCGGCGCCCACATATCAGAAACACCCGCCATCCGTCACAGACTTGCACGAGAAGTCATCAATCATGCCGCAACATGGACGCACGCCGACTACGAGAACACACTGTCCAAACGGACGAAAGTGCCAGCTATATACTCTCCCAAGAGACGACCCGAACACGACGTCACGGCTTTGTCTCTCCGACCCAAGATCGGCGACTGTCCAAGTGAATGAGCATGGGTCTCGCTCTGCTGAGAGACAGAGATGTGATCGCACCAGCGACAGTCCTACAGAGCACCATCCACAAACCGTCCCAAGCTATGGAACCTACACATGGATGGACGAGACTTGCCAGGGCTGTTGGTGTATAGGCTATTGAGGAGACTTGGGATAGCTGATGTTGCCGGCTAGAATCGAGGTAGGTACCTGGAGAAGTCGAACCAACAGAGCTCGTTGAGTAACCCTAGACGGCGACGGCTTGAAACTGATGATTCGCATAGCAGCAGTCAGTGACTAGAGTTAGAAACCAGGCATTAGCATATGCCATATTACCAGGGAGTGCCCAGGGTCTGGGACCAATATGTCTTTATCAGCAAGCATCTCATTTATCGCTTTGAGGGAAGTCGGCCATGCCAAGTAGGTGAGTGCAGGTAGCGGGGACACACCAACAAGGTAATTAGCTATCGGTACCAGCAGTCATTAGTTCACGCTGTTCGATGGCGAAACTGCAGTTAATACAGCGACCAGGGTGCGGGTAGTGGGAAGACCAATATTCAGGTTTTGAGGGCAACCTACGAGGGGCACTACCCAAGAGGCCAAAGAGGTTCTGCTCAGTGCCAGAGCCGTGTCAGAAGCCTCAGGTTTCGGGGCATGTAGGAACCTGGATGGCTTCAGCAATCACACCCAAGGTGGCAGAGAACCTGGTTGACCTCATATTGAAGTGGTGTATGAAGCGATCAGCCGGGTACTCACAAGAGAGATGGTTTCAGCCTTTCGGGGTGCCAATTCAAGGCGCAGTCAACAATGATAACGGAAAGTGGCCGTTTAGTCCAAGGCTCTGTTAGTTGACCGAGCCCAAGTTGCAACTGTCAATGGTGCTTGGCTGCTCGCAGCTGACTAGAAGTTGATCAAAAACTGGATCGATGAATTCGTCAGGAATCTATCCGCCGTGAAAAGATACTCAAAGCCTTTCCTTGCCATGGTATAGGAGCAAGAAAGCACATCGAGTAGTTGTAGTTACTGACAATGTCCGAGCACATACTCACCAAAAGCCTCAAAAGAAGGATGTAATGAACAAAAAAAAAAGAACAAACCGGCAAAAAAAGAATCTCAATCATTTGTATAGGAATAGCCCGATGCGGGGGTCGAACCCGCAACCTTGAGATGTGTGTACTCATAAGAGTCTCACGCTCTACCGATTGAGCTAACCGGGCAGAAACCGGATTTGTTGAAAGCTGAGGGTCTCACGATCGTCTTGTGAGGCGGGCAGTGACGGACTCGTTGGTGTTGAGCCATTTGAGAAGGGCTTGATTCATATCTAATTCTCTCTACCTGTGCATCTTGTGATTTCAACGCCATCCTGTACATGTTAGTTGAAGAATCTTGAGAACTGGACGGCATACTCACCGGAATACCCGTCGGCTCAAAGCTGTTGATCAACCGACTCTCATACACCAAATTCGGATCACCCTCCGCCTCATCTAGCTTCTCCTCCCCCTCCCTCCTCTCATACTGCTTAGTAGTCTTATCCAAGAAGCCACCTGCGCTCTTTGGTCCAGCCCTCTTCTCTTCCACGCTGCTCCGCACGTAGGCCAGATACGGCGGGTTACCTGGCTTTATAACGTTGTCCGCGGCAAGGACGGTGCCCGGTCCCACGAGGCGGAGACGCTCGCAGAGCTTAAGATCGCTGAGGTAGGCAGGCTTGTAGTGGTCTAGGAACATGAGGTCAATCTTGGTAAAGGTGCCGTCTGCGTGGAGGCGTGAGAGGGATTTATCACTGGGACCGACGATTACGCTGGCGACGGAGCGTAGGCCCGCGAGGTCGATGAGTGAGGTGATGACAGCAGCAAACTCGGGGTTGCGTTCAAGCGAATAGTAGTGCGAACCACCTGAGGAACGCACGGCGTCGGCAAAGAGAAGAGTCGAGTAACCCACGTAACCACCAAGTTCAACCTGTAGACGCACGTTCAGACACCTTCAGATAAGATCTGCTGCCATGTTTCAGCTTACCATGACCTTAGGCTTCACCTCAGCAATCAAGTCCGTGATAATCTTGCCCTTGTCCTCGCCAACATTCATGAGATACTTCTTTGTGCGAGCAAACTCATCAATAGCTTGGAGAATACGCTTCGGCGAGCCACGTAACTCATCAATGTCGTCTCGACCATAGACATAGTGCAGAAGCTCAATCTCTCGGCCGTCGTCGAAAAAGACGGTGTCTTCCTGCTTAGCATACGCCTTGGATTCGTCAAACTGAGGCATCGTTTTCTTTGTTAAAGGTTCAATCGTTGCAGCGTGAATGTTTGTAACGGTCCGAGGGTTCTTTTTATCCGTACTGTAACACAAGAAACAGGTCACTCAGTGTACCCGTCATTCATCCATTCCCGTCCTTTTATATCCTTCTCCCTCGACTCCTCTTCTCCACACACGGAATCCCCATTCCGGGGAGCGGCTTTCTCCCCGGCGGACGGGCACGGCATCGGGTGGGGGTTGTTGGCATCGAAGGGAGGAGAAGGGAGACGGGAGACGACAGACGGGAGCTTCCGATGACGCGCACATGCCCGAGTCGTCCAAATTTGGCGTCATGGTGTGTAACTCGAGTTAGACAAACTGTCAAAGAGTTGGTGGTTACTCGTCTTGGAATAGAAAGGACCCTTGAAGTGCCTCTACTGTGATGCCAAATCAATCACGTTCGCAACAAGTCTTATTAACTCCCGAACCGTTCCCATAAATGTATGCCCTAACAATTACTGTCTCCCCAAATGTTTGTCTCCCTTTCCAGAATGTCGTCGCAAAACCAGCAAACAATTTCTCCATTCCCTGGCCAAGCAACCCTTGTAGAACCGATCTCCGTATACCCCAAGCCCTGCACCGAACAAACCTGCCCAAAAGCACTTAACGCAAACGAGAGACGCGAAGGAAAATGAACACCGAAACAGTCCTGACCCTATATCCACCCTGAACCCCAAAAAATGCCCTTGTTTTATCTCCCTCCTTTTTTTGTGTCGTTTTTGGGTCTTGTGTGTTTTTGTCGTATATAAACACCTGCGTTTTCGCTTGCCGAGTAAAGGATTGGTGATCCGTATAATCCCTTCCATCCCAGAACCTTTGTGTGTTGGCGCCGACAAAATAAATACCTCCCATCGTCAAGGAGACTCCGAGACCGTCACTCCGGCTATGCTTGCTTGCACTCGCCGCAGACGATTCGCAGACTTGTCGTTGGTCGATAAACAGCGTAAACGCCTCAAGCTCCGCTCCCTTGGGTATCCGTCGTTGCCGTCGGGACGCTGAGCCGTCCCGCCACAATCATGATGAGCGCCCCAGGCCGTAGCCTTCCCAAGAACTTCGTCCAAACATGTTTTCGAAAACGTCCCTTCCCGTCCGTCCATCCATACTAGACACACCTCTTTTTCCTTGTCCATCCGCTGTTGAACGCAAAGTCGACATCCCTAAACAACGGACGCCCCATTGTGATGATCAAATGCAACTCCCATTTCACCAGTCCAAGCCCTTCAGCCGAGAAAAGAAACAAATGACAACTCCTCTGTCGATGCCGTTCCTTCAACACCTGTGACCTCAATGGAACCACCCAGCTCTAGCCAGATCCGAGTAGTCTTGCGTGTTTGCCGTTCCCCATTCATTGCCAGAGTGCCCCCAACATGAAAATCAGGAGCCGTAAAAGAGCTGCAGAGACACCGTCCCTGTCCCTGTCCCTGTCACAACTCAAATGTACCAACCTCGATGCATCTTTTACCTCAAGCGCCATTCCCTATGCAACTGTCAACGCCCATGCCTACCAGCACGTCCGAAACCGACTCTCAGATTCTAACCCCAGACACTAGCCGGGGCACCGAGGCCCGAAGACTGACCCCAGACACCGTTGCCACGGCCCCAGCCGCCAGGAGAGGCGAGGGGAGTGGTCGACCGCTTGGAGGAAGCTGTAGTCGCGGGTGTGCCCGAGGGACGGGTGCCGATGGGAGCAACAGAGGCTCCAGACTGGCTGGGCTTAGATCCAGGGGCGAGATCGCGCGAGGGGGATCCGCCGGTTGGGCTGGAGGTGCTGGTTCGGCTCTGGGGTCCAACCGCGTTGTCAAAGACCCGGTTCGTGGGTCCAGAGGTCTGGGGGCTGGCTGTGCTCTGAGGGCGAGAGGCCGGCTCGGCAGGAGGGCCGTGGGCGTCGCCAGTAGAGCCTGGGGTACCAGCATCACCAGCAGGAGGGGCGCGGCCGATGCTATCAAAGGCCAGGGGCGAGTGTCCACGAATGCTGGAGGGTCCGCTAGGACCAGGGGCGCCAGGGCGGACGTTACCAGTCTCATCAACATATCCGGCCTTTTCAGCGAACGGTCCCTCGCCGTACAAGGCGCTGCGCTGGCGGGCGATCAAGTCCCGAGTCTCCTCCTCAGACATGTGCTTGTTGCTCGGGAGGGTCAACTCGGAAAGGACGGCTACGTAGAAAAGCTGTTAGCCCAAGCTCAACAAACTCGACGCGGATTACATGTGTGTTCGGGAGAAGCGAGTGAAGAAGAAAGAAAACATAAGCGGCGTCCGGCCAACAATCATCGGCCGCCCATGACCACAATTTTTTTCTATTTGGCATCTTCTTTTGGTTTTGCGATAGTAGGAATGTGCTATACAGTAGAGGGTGGCCTACTTCGCTGGTATTGCTGCTCAGTGTGCAGGTTTCGAAGCTCTCGCTCCCGCTGAGCTGCCATCCTTCTCTTCGCCTGCATGACCTGTTCTGCCTCGTTTGAGCCTCGCGAGGGCTGGTGACGCTGATTGGCGTAGAAGTTCTGGAGGTTGGGTCCCTGGGAACCTCGGGCGTCGTCAAAGTTGTTAACCGAATGAGGGCGAGAGCCAGAGGAGTGGTGGGAGGCGCGCGAGTCTACATCGGATGGTCAGTTGGGGCGCTCAAGGCGCCCTGCCAGTCACAGTTTACTCACCAAGGTCTTGCTTGGGAGGATGCTGGCAGGGCAAAACGGTGTAGATCAGGAAACTCACGTCGGCCGCCCATTCCATAGCCCTTGCCAGACTTTTGCAAGTTTTCATAAGCTCGGTCGACCTCTGCGAGGAAGGATTAGTTCCTGTGCGAGACGCACAACTCGTCAAGTCCGAGTTCTCTCCAATTTCTGGTTCGGTTGGCCATCCGACAGCAAAGCAACCGTCACAAAAGACGCCAACAGAAACCGGAGGGAACAAGACCGACATTGCTGATGGAGAACATACCGTCGAACTGATACGAAAAGGCGTAGTCGTCCTGGGGCTGAGGTCCACTGGCGCCTGAGCGGATGAGCGAGTTAATGGGCATCCTGGGGTCGGAAGGCGTTCGTATTCCATCCGTACCTGCACGAACGGGAGTAGTCGAGCCCTGGTGCTCCCAGTTGTTCTGGGTCGAAGCCGACCACTGCGGGTTGTCGTAGTAGGACATGTTGTAGAATTTTGGATTCGAGTGGGAAAAACCGGGACGGTGTCGGTTCGAAGATTTCTCAAATCTCGCAACGAAAGGGTCTAGCGACGAAAAGGACGGGTTAGCCCGATGAAATCGACAAATCGATAGACGGTAGTTCGCGATGACCAGGTACAGCGCGAAGCAACGAGGGTGCCGGGACACACAAGACAATGAGGGACGGTGGTGGAGGAAAATTGCCGCCGTGGCCGACGTCAGGATGCGATGCATCAGCCATCTGAGACAGGCTCCATCGAGAACCACCAAGTCCTCAGGACCCCCTCGTCGCAACACGTTGACAAACCGCCGGCGATACTGTGCGTCAAATCATCCACTCACCCTATGCGGCAGGATATTTCGTCGTCGAGTGGTGCAGCTTCGTTCGCAGGAAGAGAGCGCGGGGGTGAATGACCACGGGCCGCGCGAGTCGGGAATAAACCACGAAAGAGTTCGGGGAGGCGGAAAAGGCACGAAGCTTGGTCGCAGAAGCTGGTGACAAGACGACGGACCAGGAAGACTCGAGGCGAAAACCGCTGCAGAGCAGACGGGAAGTCTAATAGAGAAAAAGACGGAGACGGAGACGGAGAGGAGGAAGAGGGAAAAAGAAAGAAGAGGCCGAAGATGGTGGTGAACAAGTTGTCAACGGACAAGGCGTGATGGGGGGAGGAAAAACCCAGGGCCTGGTGCTGGGCTGGTGGGAAAGGAGAAGGAGCCAGGCCCAAAAGTCATCAATCAAATCAGGAAGTCACGTCGTGGGGAGTGGGCACAGGTCGGCAACGCTTGGGGCGCGCAGTTGGCAGGTGCCAGGTGCAAGGCGCTGTCGAAGGCTGCAGGTACCTGATGAGGGTGTACCTTGCCCTGCTGGTCCAACGCTCCTTCTCAGGACGGCAGGTCGGTCAAATGCCCTGAAGAGATCTTTACGGGGCCTGCCCGATGCTCAAATAGTGGGTGTGATTTACTGCAAGACAACTGGAGGCCGCCTCTCTTAGTGATGGCTTGCCCACTTAAGAGAGTGAGGTACCTGCTCCACTCGTACCTCGTTTCGCAGAACAGGGAGAGGCAGGAGGCAAGAAAGGGTACTTGTACTGGGCACAGCTGCTGGGCCCTTCCTCGAGATGCGGACACTGAGACCTCGGGGAAGGAGAACTCGAGACATGCATCCAGGCTGCGCCTTCCCCTTTACCAAGACCTGGATCTACCTCCTCCCCATGTTGAATTTCTCCTCGCCTTGTGCCTCGTCTCCCCATGCCCTGCTCTCTTCTAGAACACAACCGATCTTCTTCATCTTGCGCAACCATCTGCAGCTTGGATGTCTCTGCGACTTCGTCCGCCCCCCCCCCCGGCCCTGCCCGCCCGTTGTCCGTTGAACGCCCAGACGCCCGCCCCAATCCGTTTTTGATTTGATAACCGGGCTAATGACGGACACTGAAATGACGACGTGTGGGGGGTGCCTCTTCTTGGCCCTTTTGCCAGCAACGCACTCTGCGCTCCACGATGCCAGTTGACGGCGGGTGGGTTGCCAGTGCAGCCGGGGAATGAGAACACTGTGCGAATACATTGTGTCCTTTGGGTGTGAATGCGAAACCATTCGGCGATGGGGATATCATCAGCCCGATGGTCGCAGACGGCTACGCACGTCAGTTCACCAATGTTGATCTCCAACTCCTTCTTGATTGACTAATTCATGACATGCAGACTCCCTTGACGGTTTTTCTTCTTCAATGTCCTATCCTGCGTCTGGGCCTCGGCCGAAGTAGCTCGCACCATTCACGACCCTGCAACGCTTGCAACGCTCCTCGAATCCTAGGATGCCCTTGGCCTTTTACTGCTCCATGCTCGCACGAGACTCGCAACGCTTAGGACGCTCTCTAATGTCTCCATCCTTGAGTCTGGCTTCCCGGTGCACGGTTCAGGCATCGCAAACCGTTCCATGCAGCCCAATTGTCTTTCGACCGCGACCCAAGGACAGACGTGCATCTTGAATCGATCAGCAACCGACATCAGCAATCCTCATCATTGATGACCACCTCCGAGAATCCCATATTCGATAGCATCATGCAATCTGCCGTTGCCACCACAGACAGCCTTGCCAACTGCTGTCTGCAGCCGCTGCATTGTTCAGCTACCAACAGGGACACCTCGCGGCATATTGCACCGAATTAATTTATCAGTATTGACTCGTTACACTGTCCGCTGTAAGAGGACGTCATGTTCCCACTCCTCGGCGCCTCGCCCTCCTTTCCTGTCTTTTCAAGTCGTCGGTTTTGTTGTCCTTTCAACTTTAACAATGGGCCATCATCTGGAGGATGTGGGGACCAAATTACATTGACGACTCTCGTGTCCTAGCGGCATCCCCCTTTTCCCAACGCCACGGGTTTGATTATGCTGGACCTGGGGGTTTTTTAAGCGGGGACGGTCTTGTATGCCGGCTTGTTCTCGTTGAATTTGCGGTTTCTATCACCGTGAGCCGGCCATCGTGTCGTTAACCGGCGTCGCTGCTTCGTCGCCATGCTGCCATGCAGCTGATTGCTGCAACCCTCAGGTTCATCACCTTCTTGAAACAGGGCATTGTGCGCCCGTGATGCGATGCGATGCGCTGCGCGATTCCTTCGCCTGCAGTTCCTGCTCTCTCATAGATCTCATCCTTTGCCGCATTTGATGTCCGGTCAAGAGATCAATTCCGCGAAAGTCCGCCTCGGTGTCGAACTGTCCCGCACCGCCTTTCTCCTGGTATCGGCTAACACGCCCGGGCTTGATGCTGACTCGTGCCTGTTGCCCGTTGAACCCCAGACCAGGACCTTGAAGCCGTATCGCATCGTATGGAACTCTTAAGGCGCTGTTCATCATGATATGCCTGATGGGCCCAGTGCGTTAAATGGCATGCATGGCCTGGGATACCACGCCTCGAACTTCGCAGCAAGGGTCCAGCTACCACAATCAATCATGTCACCTGCCTGCTACATGGCCATTCTGCGCTTGTCATCTTGCCCGGGCTCTCGCTCGCAAGGCGGACCGCGGTCCCTGCGACATCGAGCTTGCAGCTGCAAAATGGACAGCGCATAGCATCACTTTATCGGCACTCCGTTCAGACGTTCCGGAGCGGCCAACTCACATGCAGAACGCCAACTACCTCATACCATGCCGGGAGCTAGAATTGGCAACAGTGTCCGGGCTTTCTCTCTCAATCTTATCAACCACGGAGGATTGTGTTCGGGCCGTTATCTGGCCCTCTCATGAATACCTGAAGACCATACGCAGGTAACCTCCACCCTCCAGCTACAGCAGCTGCCCGCATGGGTCGATTCTCAACGATCCCTGACAACGTGAGCAACAAGCCGAGCCTGGCAAATACAATTACACTTTTTTCATCTGTGTTCTGGATGCAAAGCGCAGCTCATCCGAAATCGTCCACGTTCGATGTCGACTTTGAGCATCACGTCTGGGCGGCGCGTTGCCAAGTATCAACCTCCGTGTAGAGTACTGTACGGAAGCACCCCGACTTTTTTCCCGGTGACCGGCTACTACATCTACATCGATTTTTGTACACACTCAGTGCCTCAGCCAGCCACGATAACTTGTAACTTGGCGACGAGATATTTACGAAGATTGGCTCTGCGAGAAGATGTTTATGCTGTAGTTACAGCATTCAAGCTAGCGTAGCCTCTCATTACCCACATCGCGACCTATCCGTCAGCTTATCGACACACAGTCCCCATCACATCGACGGTGTTCTCATAGTCATATCTTGAGGTCAAGATCATGGATGACTTCCAAAATGCACAGCCATGGCCAAGTTCTTTTCTCCCGCTGCAGCTGCTCGTGCTGCTGACACGATCCTCAGCTACCATTCAGGGTGGCAGGGGTATCAATGGGCGGACCCGGATGGATGGACCGACCGAGGGTCCACCCATTCCTCATAGCCTCCGTCTCTTCGGTCGCTCGCTCTTTGAGATTGACGACTTGGTCCCTTGAAATCGACTTGTTCAAGTGATGCTGGAGCGGCGGGCCCGAGTTGTCTGAGTCTGCCGGAGGTTTCTACACCCGTGTTTAGCAAAACGAGCTTCGTTACAACTCGCCCCGACTCGAAAACACAAATGTCGGGATTTGGAGTGCATCTGATCCACTCTGCTGCATCCCCTCAAGAAAGGTACCAGTACAGTGCTGCCATCGGGAGGCCCATGTCGCCGCCAGTCAGCCGAGTCACTTTTACCCAGGCGATATTGGACAAAATATGGCCATCCAGACCTCCCCCTCGTAGACACTGATAAGTTCGCATCTTTGTAATCACCGGCTAATATCCCGCAGTCCCAATTTCCCCAGACTAGTTTCGTTTCCATCATTGGCCAGGTAGGTAAACCGCATGCTGAACTCGTCACCACCTGTCACCCATGTAGCGCGCCAGTTGGCGTTCTGATTTGACGGTTCTCGTCTCTGGCACTTGATGGCACCTTGATGCCTAGACTGTGGAAGAATCAGGGCGATCGGAGAGGTGGAAGGTATCCTCGTGGTGATTTGGGGCACACTGGGATGAGGCGTGCGTTGGTTGGGACAATGACGACATGGCACTCTTTCTTGTCTTGAAAGTGGAGTGTATGAGTAAGTAGTGAGTGGCTGCCCTCGCATGTATTTCGCAGAAGCAATTTGGTGATTGTTGGTAGTTTGTCTTGGTTGCCTTGTTTTCTAAATGGACTATCCGCCATGGCTGCCCAGCAAGTTAGATTACACCTGCTGGTACCCTAGAGCGTTCACGGTATGTAAGTGACTGAATGCACTTTTGGAATAGATATCAAAGCCATGTTGTGGGGGATTTCAGGAATAGCAAAAGATCGCGGAACAGTCGTTGGTGTAGGGTATGGATACCAACCATCAGGTTTTGCACGTATCCTAGGCCCGCGAGATCGGACAGGGGATTATATATGAGATATAGTATAAGTACATTGATAAATTGGACGTAATTGTGCTATGTATTGTTATACAAAGTCGAGATTCCGCCTACGAACTTGGGTTGAGGACGACCAAACATCACAGCGTTGTTGTTTGAGCACGTAGTAGAAGTGAACATGGCTTCTCATTTAAAGATGACTGTTTCAAAGTGAGTGAGTCAAGAAGTTATGCGCTTAACTAAGAAAGCCTTTCTGAAGGGAAAGAAATGACACTTTAATACTTGTGTCACAGGGCAGCAGATAATATACCAAGCTGATCAGAGAGGAGAAATAAACAATACTTTACTCCTAAGATACCAATGTTCCTTCAAATAGTAATGCTGACCCTAAAGCAAATAAATAATATCTCCCTATCCTTGAGACTCTGGCGCCAGGCCATCCTTCTTCAGGTTACTTCACCTCTACGCCTTGGTAGTGTGTCGTAGTTCAACCACAAGGAGCTTTCAATAGGATTCCGCCCCTAGACGAATAAGAAAGTAAACATTCTTGCCCCCCTTTTCGAAAACCCCTTAAAAATGTATGGTAAGGCGTGGCCTGTCTCATCTTGTAGCCCGGACACAAAAGCCATGAAATCAAGGCCACTAAGAGCCTTTGGGTGAGTCGACCATGGCACTGCCCTTCTTTGCCAGGGGCGAGTTCTTCTGAGAGGGCTGAAAGGGGATTGAAATGTTAGAATTTTGAGTAGTATCCTGATAAAAAGGGTGCGTACCGGGCTCGGAGGATGAGGAGCGACTTGGTCTTGGGCCCAAGCACCAGCGTGAGCGACAATGTCGTTTTGTGTCTTTTTCTTGATGTGCTGGACAGGATCAAGAGCCATGGTAGTGTGTCGAGAACAGAAACGAGTAAGGCCAGCTTGTAATGGAAGAAAGTTAAACAGCTGAAACTGAGAGGCAGTGAAGATGAAGCTTGGAGTGCAGTTTGCTGTCTCCTGGGCTGCCCTTTAAATACAAAACCTCCTTCAGGCTTCCGGAGAGTCTGTAAAGAGAATACGAGAACTCCCATCTGCTTTATTTCTGGTGAAACAATTCTGATTCACACCAGAGAGAGTCCGGGCAACCAAGTTCGTATCGAGAGTAGATCCTCCAGCCTCTGTTACTTTGGGCACAAATCCGGCCTCTCTGGTGAAGACAACAATGACGACTACCGACCTTCCCGCCCGAATAGTCCTATAGAAGAGACAGCCAAGGAGATGGCTTGCAACATTCCAATTTAGACTCAAAGTCGGCCCATATTGTGTTGAGGAGCTGCTTCAAACGGCATAGACAGTTTCTCTTTCCCTGAGTAAGGCTTGTTGGAGGATAAGACAGAGATGAGTTTGAAACGTCCAAAATAATGCGGAGATTAGTTTGGCAGACGGGGGGAGATGTGAGTGGTGAAGGACATGTGAAACTAAGACATGGAGTTGGCTGGCTGGCCTGATGACCAGACAAACATTATCTGGGCTGAATAACCAGCCAGCCAAATACCGGCAGAGACATTCTAAATTATCGTGATTTTCTGAGCTAGACATACTCTCATAACCTGGTCTTGGGACTCATCCTGGACTGATGTTGAATCAGTGAATGCCGAGGCTGGTGGCTTCTGGGAGAGACATTTCGTAACATGGCGGGATCAATAGAACGAATGAAGAAGGGAAACATTGTCTTGGAACTATTTCTGGCGTTAGGATTCGTCATTGAAATAAGCAAGGCGAGGTTGGGCCTCGAAGATAGGCAATCAGCGTCTCCTGTCGGGAGTCAGATCATGATGCATGGCCCAACCTCGGGCTGCTTAGAGTTGTCTTGTCTTAGTTTTTGACTCTATGGCTTGGATACTTGGTCCCAAGTGGTGACGATGCCTGCACCCACAGACCCGTCCACCGGATTTGTGTCCAAGAACGGCGCTTCAGCTTGACTCGGCTCAAGCCTGCGTCTGGCCTCATCTGATGGAATGCTGACAGGATATTGCTCGGCTGTATTCGAATCGTGGGCTTCCACCGCCAAGAAAGGACTTTAATCCTCCAATGAGTGTCTTTGTACATGAGTCCGGTTTTGAGGGAGCATCATGGCTGAGGTCACCGAGACGGAGTTGTACGCCGCTCGGAGGAGGATCTTAGCCGTTGCTCTATCGACCGCTCCGCCCTCCTCTAGAACCACAGCTGACCATGTCCCTGCTCGAATCTAAATGAATTTGCCTGCACAACTGTACTGGCTGGTTCCTGTGTTGTTAATCAAGGCGTTACTTCTGGACGAGGAGCTATTCTGCAATCAAGCTTTGGGCTGAAAGGATTCAGACCAACTGGACAGCGATGAGAATTGCCACGGATAAAACGGGAGTGGCATTGGGTTCTTATTATTTGCTTATTATTGCAGTATTATGTCCCATAGTGTTGATTGATTCCATAATTAGATCCTGGTCGATTTCCTTTTCTTCATTCTCAAGTTGGGATGGAACCATCACACTTGCCCTTCACTTCATTGCCATCCTTGCCAGTCAGACCATCAAAGTATGCGAGGAGAGTTTCAACAGGCACCATCTCCATCAGGCCCAAGTTAGGGTTCGATGACTTCAACGGCTTGCCACCAAACAGAACTCGCACATAATATCCAGGCTCGCCACTTGAGTTGCTCTCATCTCTTGACTTTGAAGAACCCTTCTTGTACAGCTCAAACACAATCTCGCTGCCCATACCGGGCCAGACCATAACATCGATCTGGAGGATGCTGAGGACTCGGCTCATAGGCCCGTCGTGGGCAAAGTTGTGCAAGTAGAGGGTTTCTCTGTTACCGGCCATGACCCCACGGAGATGACTTGCCAGCTCGGCAATCCAGACGCCGTACGACGTAAAGGAGGCGGCGAGGGATGCAGGCGCGTCGCGGTACATTTGTGAATATTCCCACTGTCCCATGCGGAAGACGGCTTCTGCGAGCTCTTGATCAACGCAGGTTGAAGAGTTCTTGCCGTCAACGAGCTTGCATGGCAGAGGCTTGTCGTGACATTGTCGGGCAGACAAGTTATCGTAGTAATGGTCGAAACTGACGTGGAAGCTCTGATCGTCTTTGGGAACACCTGAAATATCGTCCAACGTATCGAAAAGACTCTGTCCCTCGGTCAAGTGCTTCTGCCACTCACGGTTGGATGGTGACATGATGGCATTGGTCAACTTCTTTCCAACGGCACAGCTGTATCGGGGTTCTAGACTGTCGATGTCTGCTTGCTGGATAAGTAGGGGGACAGAGTCTGTTGTTTGCCACATGCCGTTGAGGAACATGCCAGCGACTTGGCTTGTGATTTGGTTGTTGGTGACTCTGAACTTGACCTTGCTGCGCCAGTCCTCATCACGGCCTGGAATAAAGTGAAGTAGATCATGGTAAACTTCATACAGGTCCTTGCCGTGGACCCAGGAGTCGTCTAGACCTCCAGCGCTGATCTGAGGGAACTGGCATGATCCAACAAACCCGTATGGGGTGAAGGGGTTGATGTCGGAGGTGAAGCCTGACCAGTATCCTTGAGCAGGGGGGTTATGTCCCTCATCGAAGGGTTTGCCAAAGTAGTATAGACCTTGGTTGTTGCAGTCCCATCGGTATGATTCGACAGGGAAAGCGTTGGCTGCATATGGTGTGCGTTTGTGGTGTCTTTGAATCTAGAGACAACGGTTGAGAATCAAGCAACTCGTTTGAGGAAACTCCAATTTTGACTTACCACCTCGACGTATATTAATTCATGATCATCAGAAGGCTTCACATACTCCTTCTTGCGAGCATGAGGCATGTTGCACCAGTTGTAAACGCCATACTTGTCATCAGGCGTATGTGAAGTGTTGTATATGAAGCCGTAAATCCCCTCACCGTGAAGCACACCGGTGAGGTTATTTATTTGGTTACTGCTCGGAGGGTACCACTTGGGATCGACCGCCTGAGTGACGACCCCCGAGGAAGCCGTCAGGACAGCCAGGAGGCCGCTTTTGGGTAGGGACGACATGTTGATGTACTGGCTCATGCAGTAAAAGGCTCCGACTAGTACGACGGCCGTGAGAGCAACACGACGGAGCTGAAATCTGGGGAAGAAGAGCGCCATTTCTTGACGGGAGATGGGACCTTGATGTTCGAGCTGGACCTCCTTTACCGTTTTGGCGACGTCGAAATTACCCGCTGTATTTGGTATGCACGTGGGCGATATGATTGGACGGGGCACTGCTAGAACTGGGTCTTTGTCCGGACAGCCCTGTATGGACGCGCAACGTTTGTTCTTTGGCAACCTTGAGTGGACTACAAGCAAATGTCAAGCGTTACATTGTAGTTTTTCTCCGTGGTTTGTGATACCAAATAATGATGGCTTCAATGGGGTAGTTCTCACTCATGCACTGCCAACGATGAGCCCCTTAGCGCTCATCCTTGCGCCCCCAACGTTTCACAGATTGACACGCCACCCTGGCAAGCATTACGTCAGAGGATTCAGACTCGATGAGTCCTAGATATATCAACTCAAATCTCGGCACTCACATCTACTGTACCTGTAAAGCACCTTGTGATGGAGATTCCGTGGGAAGCCCGTATTAAGCGTGACCCCAAGTTCAACCCTCAAGACAACACGCAAGGTCTACTCCCGCTAGCAAAGTTTCTATGGGATTACTCGACTGCTGAGGGTGTCAAGGCTGGGTATAAGGCTTTGGGACAGTCGCAAAAGGAGAAGTTGAGTGGGTTTTTATCTTCCTTGCAGGGTTCTTCACCGAAACCAGTGAGTAATGCCTCCCATCATTCCCGCAAGAAACGTGCATGACGATGGCGATACTGACCTTCAAACAGACCTTGCCTGAAGAAGAGTTTGTTCACTCTCCCCTTCAAGATTTGAAAGGGATCCGTCTCGTTTATGTTGACGTCCAAAATTCGACGCTACGATGCACCCTCCAGACTTACTCGTCCTCTGAGATCCCACCCTATGTCTGCCTCTCATATGTCTGGGCTGACTTCGGTCCAATGATGAATCGAGGCCGCGACTTTCGCGAGACTGAACTCGAAGTGCCCATGTTTAGTCACTCAGACAGCGCCGATATCATCCTCAACGATCGTCGTTTCTCTATTGGGGCTAACTTGCACGCCGCTTTGCTTGGCCTCTACCAGTATCTCGATGGGAGACCTATCTGGATAGATGCCATGTGCATCAACCAGACTGATAGCAACGAAAAGGCTTTACAAGTCGCTCGCATGGGCGAGATATACAGTGCTGCGGAAAAGGTCTTCATTTGGCTTGGTCGGAAACACACAACACGGGACACTGCTTTGAGGATTCTTAAAGTGTGGCCTTCGTTCCCCGCCAACCCAGACAACGCGAACATCCAGTTCCATGGAAAGAAATACAACACAGCCAAGGCCTTCTTTGATGCGACTTCAACTGGCTCCGAACTTATATCTTGGATCGGCCTTCTCACAATTGTCACTGAGAGTTGGTGGAGCCGGGTTTGGACGGTGCAGGAGTTTATCCTCTCAAAGGAATATGCCTTCTTCTACAACGGAGCTCAAGTACCGACTGACGATTTCAAGAAGGCAATGGACTGGACTTACTTCGTTGCAATCAATTGCTCTTCCAAGCTCATCCCTTCTTGGGTTACTTTCCAACCTTCCATCTTTGACCTTAAACAGCACGGGACGAGACTGAGCTTTCTTGATGTAGCTATGCTTGGAGCAACGAGAATGGCGGGTGACCCGCGGGATAAAGCCTGGGCTTTTCTGGGGATTACTGATCCGGGATCGATTGGACAACCTCCTCTCAAACCTGACTATGATAACCGGAACATGGGAGACTTTTACATCGATCTTGCTCAACGTCTCTTGCGAGGCGATGCTGGGCTACTTGTTCTCTCACTTGTCAACCATCCCCTCCCCAAGGAATCATACAAGTTTAAATCCAAGAAGCCAATCGGCAACCGTCTCTTGGACCAGTACAAGGCCAAGAAGCGACTCCCTCAGCAAGACCCGAAGTTTGCACCTCCCAAAGAAGACGTCTTTGATGAAGCGTTGCAACCGGACTGGAGTGGCAAAGGTGTGGGCTATCCAAGCTGGGTTCCCAAGATGGCGAGCGCTGTTGCTATGGAACCTATTTTCCTCAGGGAAATGAGAGCTCAGAAGGCTCGAGGCAAGGCTCTTCATGATCCCAGTTGGAGGGTATTTCACGCCGCGTCAAATGTTCAGAGGGGCTTCTCTTTGTCCGCTAATGGGAAAAGCCTCTCTGTGGAAGCACACCTTCTGGACCCCGTCAAAGCTGCGGTTGCACTGCCCAAGACTGAAGAGGATGAGCCGGGCTTCTATCAAGCCTTTCGTTCGTGGTATCCAAAGAAGAGTCGTCTGGCGGATATCCCGTATCAACACCAACCTTCCACCGCTGTGCCAAGCGCACTATGTCGAACTCTGCTGATGAATATTTGGCTCACCTCCCATCCTGCTCCAGAAGGTTGCGAAGCTCACTTTGCAAACTACCTGGCTCGCATCTCAGGATCGGCGTCAAGTGTCAAGCATGACCTGCACTTGAAGAAGAAGCCGGACCCAGAAGAGGGAGACATATTTCCTGCAGCCATGAATGATGTTGGAATAGATAGGGTCTTGTTCATCACGGAGAAGGGATTCTTGGGTCTCGGGCCAGCGAGGATGGAAGTTGGCGACGTGGTAGGCCTGGTGGCTGGGGCTCATGTACCCTTTGTGTTACGTCAAGGGTCTGGGGGATGGATCATGGTCGGCGAAACTTACGTGGAAGGAGCTATGTATGGTGAAGTTGCTCAGAAACTGGTGTTCCAGAGTGTAGAGATCGTGTAGGTCGGACGAAGAGTTCTGCAACACCACGTTCTTGATCAATATTTCTCACGACTTTCTTCAACAAACCAGGGGGGCTGGCGCAACGGTAGCGCGTCAGATTCCAGAAAACCGGAATCTCCTGAAGGTTAAGGGTTCAAATCCCTTGTCCCTCAACCCAAATTTCATTTTTGACCTTTTTGCCCCCGTCCATTAACGTTTTGCGCGATTTACTACCACACCTTGACTTCTCCTCAATTGGTACCTTCCTTAGACGAGGTTTAGCTTGTTGCCATTAACCCTCTATGTAGGGTAAGTTACATTGACTTAATTCCATGCGTTCAGTCTTGTCACCAATTCTGCGATAGGCGGCTTGCTTTTCACTCAGAGCCAACAACTGAACGAAGCCCTTACGGTCTAATCTTCAGTCAGTCTTTAACGAGAGCATTGTGTCCTCACATCCCAGCTTCATTTGCTTTGAATAGAGTGGGGTGGAAGCTGTTAGCCTCTGAATCTTAAGGGGGTGCTAACACGCAATAAGGATGGGGAGCGGGAGCTTACGAACGATGCTCAAAAAGCACGACAAGGCGCCCGAACCGTGTAAAGGGAATTGTAGATGTTGCGGAGCAAAGGTTTGGTAGGCGAAGGGTTGTTGCTGACCAGCTCACTTCGACGTGGTCACCAATGACGTCTCCAGAGGAGGCCATCAGCCACAATAGTAAAAGGCACACTTATCAACACGTAATCGCATCAAATGTTATGAAATGCAATATCAGGAAACTTGACAATTAAGAAACTATCCCACTTTTTGAAGAAAACGAGAGCATCAGGCGTGACCGCATCGCCACACACACAAAGGAACACGTTCTCGAACGCGCACAACAATAGCATTGAAATTAAGATATGTGACAATCGTTAGCCTATACATAGACTTCACTCTGAAAAAGGTCATCTGAGGCTAAGGGAATGCATACCGTCTACAGTCACTGCCAGAGTCCCAGCTGCTCGTCATCTCGTGATTAATGAATGAGATGCTCATGCTGCCAGCTATTTCTCTTGCATATACTGACCGATAATCTAGCCCCGTTTAGACGCCTGAACCCCAAGCTCAGCAGTATTGAGTCCCCGTACTGGCGCTTGAGACATGCGCGCCGCCTCGCACCGCTGAACTGTCCACGAACCAAACCACGAATGCTCTCTACTTCTTTGGATCTTTCTCCTTATCCTTATCCTTGCCCTTTTCGGTCTCCTTCTTCTTGTCCTTGTTGCCAGGCGCTGGGGCGGGGGGATTTGTCGTCTTATATGGATTGACGCCCCATCGGCACCCGCAGTGGAGGCATACTGACGACCCTATGGGATTCGGCGCCTTTGTTGCGCAGCCATTGTTGGTACATCGCCAGCTCATGGTGTATTATAGTTTCGCGGGATGGTTGTTGCAGCTTTCGATCCCGGCTATGGCGTTGGAGGTTGCCAGTCGTGATCGTATATAGACCGAGAGAGTAGTTGTGTTGAGAGTTAATATATTTGCTTGATTTGCAGAAGTTCATATGCCAAGACATCGTGGGGTTTATATGTTTCTTCTGGGACGTTGATTCATTGCCAGATCGGTTGGATGACTCTCGCTCTCCTGCGCTTGACGACGGCTCTAAGTGATTGGTGTTATGAATCACCACGATACGTCAACCATAGGAAGCTGAGGGGACAATCACGGGCAAGTCATGATGCTGGTGATGAAGTCTTCTTGTTGTAGGAAAGCTTACGAGCATCACCTGACTGATTGTAGGCTGATGCTCTGAACGTCGGGTTGTCACTGGTCTTTGAGTCGACCCATTGACGATCACCAGGTATCACAACAGCAAAATAATGGGATTGTGTAGCCTGGTTGAAGCATGTAGCACAAGCTTTGTTGGTTGACCTAATGTGTGTGGTTTTCCTCGGCTGTGGTCAGGTGTTGAAACCAACTGTACCTCTGCTTCCCATGCGGATAAATGCAGATTCCTCCCGTGCTCAACAGGCACGTAAATAATACAGTCAGCCACTTTTGCCAGGGATTAACACGCTTCCCGCTGACTGTGTTTGGGGGAACTGCCATGATCACTGTTCGCTGTCACGCGGTTCTACAGGCTGCTGCAACGAGGTTCGCACCGAAGTAACACCAACAGACAAGCCACTTTTCCTCCGTGGCGTCTCTAAGAGTGCTTACTTCTGGTATTCGACTCCTTTCGCCTTGGAGCTGTTGGGCCAAATCTTTAGGCTGCTTAGACAGCGACGATCACGCATGTAGGTTCATTAAACAAAGCGTGGCATGGCATCGTTCAACCTCGTAACCTAGTAAAAATCTCATCATATATGTACGGTTGGATTCCCTCAAGCAATCTAGCATCCAACATGACCAACTCAGATTTCCCACTTCCAACACTCGGTCAACTATGCTGCCAATATCACCGGAACCTTATGGACCTGTTGCGTCTAGCAAGTGGACTGGCCATTTCCGGTAAAGGTTCCAGGCTGATAAGCGCCGCTGGCATCGCCGAGACATTCCGCTGTGAAGATTTTAGCCTCGAGATACAACATTCGTTTCAGTTGAAGTTTTACTTACCGACAGTGACAAGCTTGAGGTTGTTCTGCTTCGCCCAGTTGATCAACCAAGGCGTAAGCGTCTGAACCGTGCTGGCATACGTCTCATGCATCAGAGGAATATGTCCGTTGCCGCCAGCACCGGCTTGCTGGAACTTTTGCTGACTCTGCTGCGCGGTCTGGCCGTTCCAGTCGCCAGAGTCAACATCGTTGGTAATGACCTTGTATCCGAGCGACTTCATAGTGGGCAGCACGTTTCCGCTCGTGGCAAGGTATGGAGGACGCATGTACGCGGGCTTCTTGCCGATGATATTGACCATGGCTTGCTCAAACCGCTGCATCTGTGATGTGAGGTCATTGGTGCTCAGACTGCCAAAGTTCTGGGGGTGAGTCCAAGTGTGACTGGCAATCTGATGGCCCGAGTTATAGGCGGCCTTGATGGCGTCCCTATGGTTGTAGACACAGCCATAGAGCGTACCAGTCCAGAAGAAGGTGGCTTTGGCACCAGCTTTGTTGAGGATGTCTACAAGCTGGCTGGTGTACTGCGCTGGGCCGTCATCGTAGGCGAGAGCCAGAACACCAGGCTTGCTGCACTGGCGGATGACAACGCCAGGAGACGCCTGACGCTCAAAGACGTCCAGAGGGTTGGCAACAGGGAGAGAGGCAGCGCTAGCTGCAAGAAGGAGGAGGTTGACAGCGGTCTTGAAGAATGACGGCATTTTGGCTATACGAATGAAATATGTGCGAGAAAGTAAAATGGTAGAGAGGATGCTTTGGAGTAGGACTAGATCAGGCCATGAGGTGATCCGTCAAAAAGTTGACTTTCAAGGAGGCTATATAGCTGAGTACAACTCTGCACGAAGTAAATCAAAAGTTCCATAAATCAGGTTTAGAATACAACACTCTCCCACAAACCAATCATGTCATTTGAGAAGACATGAGCAGATGCCGGCCAGACTTAGCCGCGGCTAGTGCTTAATATACATCAGCTATACTATGCAACCACCCTCTTTTTCGGAAGATGTGCCTGAAACAAAACGTGCGGTTTCAGGCTGAATTTTCCCGGACACCCCTGGACCACCCACCCCTTACTGTTAACGGAAATTTCCCCAGCTAATGTTTGGACGGGTAAATTCAAGTCCCGGACTGCGCGGGGATGCCGATGCTACCGTACCTCGTTGTCGAGAATAGCCGGGACCTCTTCCTTGGTGTTTGTTGTCATGTGGACTTCTTTCGTGCCGAGATGGCCTCACTGAATTGCCCTCCTGGGAAGGTCTCACACAGACGGCCCGGGCCTCGATCCTCCGGTAGTGCAAACGTGGACCGGGTAAAGCGAGCCCCTCTTTTTAGTTCAAGGTTTCGTGATTCGGAGATGAGTGCCTCGTCTCGTCTTGGCTCCGGAGGAGGTGGTGGATCCACCCGGAGTAATTTACATGAGGGAGCTCCGGTAGAGTACCTACAATAAAAGCGATCGTCGGGCTTCTTGTTGACCTCTTTTGTTCTTCAGGTCTCCTCACCGGTAAAATCAATCTAGCCAAGGCCCGACGGACCCTATTCTCCTCTGTTCCGGTAGGTTCCTTTAGGAAATTCCTTTCGTCCTTGAAGCTTAATAGCTTGAACTATACCGACAACATTCTCGACTTCAGCCTGAGAAGATCTCGACGTGACGTATATAAGACTACCTGCTGACCATTTCTTGGTATAGCAATCCAACATCTCCTGTCAACGCAAATCACATCACCTCAAGTCAAAATGGTTTCTTTCAGCTACCTCCTCGCAGCTGTGTCTGCCTTCACCAGCGTTCTCGCCGTCCCCACGGCTGAGACCTCTGAGAACCCTGCCCTCTCCAAGCGTACTCAGAGCTCCACCGGCACCCACGGCGGCTACTACTACTCCTTCTGGACTGACAACCCCAACACTGTCACCTACACCAACCAGAACGCTGGTCAGTTCAGCGTTTCCTGGAGTGGCAACCAGGGCAACTTTGTTGGTGGCAAGGGTTGGAACCCTGGTGCTGCTAGGTAAGAACACGGCCAAAGTTGCATCTCCTATACTGACGCGTGCTCCAGAACTATCAAGTACTCTGGCACCTACAACCCCAACGGCAACAGCTACCTCGCCGTCTACGGCTGGACCCGCAACCCTCTGATCGAGTACTACATCGTCGAGAACTTTGGAACCTACAACCCCTCTTCTGGTGCCACCAAGAAGGGAGAGGTCACCGTCGACGGCTCCGTCTACGACATTTACACCAGCACCCGCACCAACGCCCCCTCCATTGAGGGTACCCGCACTTTCCAGCAGTACTGGTCTGTCCGCCGCAACAAGCGCTCTAGCGGCTCTGTCAACACCGGTGCTCACTTTAACGCCTGGAGCAATGTTGGCCTGAAGCTTGGATCTCATGATTACCAGATTCTTGCTGTTGAGGGTTACTACAGCTCTGGTTCTGCCACCATGACTGTTTCTTAAGGGACTTGAACAGCTTTCAACGTGTTGGGGAACCTGATGGAGAGAGGATGGATGATTGTGGGATATGAATTTCTCGTCGGTCCTTGGATTCTAGGTCCATCTTGCCTGAGGGTGTACACTCGCTGCGTGCCAGTCTGAACGGTCTTTGATTCTTGTACATAACATGGCTGTCCCTGTTTTGGGGGGAGAATTGCAACTCGCGCAAGTCAATCATGTGTTAGTGAGCAGTAAATATACATGTCAGAAACTGTAATTGGCTTTGGATGTACTGGGGTTGTGCATTTAGCCGGTGATTGTAGATCCGGGTATGACGTTTCCCCGGCACAAGGCAGTCCACATGCTTAAGCAGCTCCCCTCAGGTGCATATGGTTGCATCCTTTTCCTAAGAAAGAGTCGTTGAAACCCTAGTAGGCTCTGGTACGTGTTGGTCAGTTGTAATCTCCAAGGCATGTTTGCTGGAGTTGAAGTGGCGGCCTTGTACGTCAAGTGAAATGGCCCTAGACACTAGGAGTAGAAACCAGAGAAACGAAACAAGGGAGTACGATTGGGTAGCTGCTCACTTGCCCCCATAATCCCGGAACCTTGGGCTTGGAATCCTGGCCTTCTATAAAAAACATGGCCCTGGAGATCTGCGGGGTTAGATGTCATGATCTTTACTAGGTCGGTTGACGAACCTCGCAACTACGTGTAATCCTCTTGGGAGCATTCTCACTCGCACAAATCGTTGTCCTTCAGTAAATGTTCATCCAGATTCCCCCCTGGATGGAGGCTTGGCCAAGATGCGCTAATCTGCCGAAGGACTCGAAGGATCAGGAGAAGATGGAGAAGAGACACAGTGGGTCACTAGAAGGATCAGGTGTCACAAACCCTTCTTGGACATCACTTCCTGTCTGATATATATGCGAAGGATGTGCTGGCATTGGGCTTGGTGTCATATTGAATTTATTGCTGATTATTCTTGTGTACATTAACCCTTTGCATTACGCAAAGTACGGATTGTTAACCAAGCAATGAGAGTCTTTTCTCTTTTCTTAATAAACTCTCCCTTTGCGTCTGTTTATTAAGATTTACTTGGCACGATAATAATCGTAATTTCGCTGAGTGTTTTGTTTCGTCTGATTACGAGACCTGGGGTCGTCCCATCGGAAGCAGGTTTAGAAACGAAGGATTTACGCTAACACGTAAAGAGTGGCCTGAGTCTCTGAAGGAGCCAGGTTTGATTGGATGCATTGACGTTACAGATGATCCTCCTTGCTCAAAGAAGCAATGACCGAAACTGTTTTCTCAGCTCAGCCTCACATTTTCACATGTTTTTGATGACTAAAAATGGGTTGTGATAATTGCTCTTGTAGAAAAGCTAGATAAGATGAGTTCCTTGAGTTAAATGCCCTATTTCCAACTTAATTCCAACAGTGACAAGACAACTTACCCTTGCCTGGCTGATAATTAAAGGTCATGACAACCAACAACGCATGGTGATCGCTGACAAGGACCAAGAAGATAACCAATCGGCAGGCAGAATCAGGTGGGGCATGCTTAGATTACAGGGGATCATCCTGTTCCTGCGCCTCGATTCAAAACCTCAAATATCTCGGGGCATCGCTCAGTAATCTTCACCTTCTTCACCACAGTCGTTACCTCAAGTCAGGAAGCCCGTTCATTACAATGACTAGACTCATCCACGCCGTTCTTTTCTCTTGGGCCACCTTGGCCGTCGCCCGCGACCCGCAACAACAACCCGCGAAGACTCCTATCCTGGGCCAGAGCACCTCACAGGGCTGCTTCAACAAGCTCCCGGCCGGCGCTCAGTCTGTAAAGGCCAAGGCTCCTTTCATCAGCTCGGGATTCTGCAACGATGCCTGTCGGGACATTAACAAATATGTCGCCATTACCAGCCCTGACAGCTGCCTCTGCGCCGACACGTACCCTCCAAAGTCAGCCCTGGTTAAAGACACTCAGTGCAACTACCCATGCTCTGCCTATCCGATGGAGGCTTGCGGTGGTGATGAGCCTACTGCATACAGTGTTTACAATACGGGCATTGAGTTGGTGGTTGACAATGATGACGGCAAGACTGCGGCGACCATCACCACCAGCAGCATCACGCCTCCCTCGACTCCTCTGTCATCTAAGCTTCCTTCGACCTCTACTGATGGCACCACTGCCGACGAAACCACTGCTGAGGAAACCACTGCTGTGAGCACCCCTACCAAGGGCGTTGCTGCTGAGGGCACCTCTGCCGACAGCACCTCTGCCGACAACACCTCCGGCGCCCAGAGCACCCCTAGCGCCATTAGCACCGATGTCCCCAGCGCCGCCGCCCCTAGACTCTCATCGCCCGTCGGCAAGTTTGTTAGGATGTTCAAGGTCTTTTTCAACTAGGGTTCTGGCTGCCAGGGCTCGTGTTTGCGCCACTTTCTAGGGACGAGAGTGTCAACTTTGGTCGGATTTGTATGGACCGGCTGGGTCCGGGTATAGAACTGGGAATAGGCTTCATAGCTGGACTAGACGAAAATGTATAAACATTTCTCTGTGAGGGCCGTTAGTTGATATGCCCCTCGTTTTTAAAATGGCATCGGGGCGCTATGTGACAGATGTAGAGATAGCAAAGGACGCGATTACTGACCTTAATACACCACTGAGACTTCATCCCCTGTTCGCACCACCCAAGTTTCGACTTTCTCCATCCCCCACATGACTGTAAACAAATGCCGTGCAAACTCGTCCACCTGGGCAGCACCGACACCTCGTTCTAGAAGGGACGTGCCATGAAGACTGTAGATGAACAACGGGTCAGTGTGGCGCGCAACGGCCTCCCAACGCGCCGAAGATGGCGCCTCCCACAGTTTCGCATGAGTCGTGATCTGAATATCGCCCCCACACCCCTCAGTGAGTTCCCCTCTGAGACTGTTGTAGACACCTGTGGCGAGATTGCAAAGCAGCCATGTTCGACGGATGGACTCGGAGAGGACAAAGGATCGGTACAGGGCTGGGACGGGATCGACGTCTCCAGTATGAGGCCCGCCAAATGCCGAGGTACTGTTTGCTAATAGAGGAGCGAAAGGTGTACCCTGGTTTACAGATTCCCATAGCTGGGTGTTCCAGGCATGAAGCGTACTCATGAGATTTTCAGCTCGGGCACGACGTTGAATAGAGGAGGAGAATAGTGCAAGAAGGATGTGGATAAGAAGGGCTTGCGTCCGGGCTAGGTGATCTCTGGCCGAGAGTGCATTGAAGGATGTGGAACTTGAGGACTCCGAATTGAGTAGATTGGAGATGTGAGCAGACGATATTGCGCCGATGATGTTCTCATTCTCGGCAGTGGCGGCGGTTGAAATGGCAATGGCAGAGTATGCATCTTGCATACACTGCGGGTAACCTGACTCGGAATAGAGATGGCGGTGGATGAAGGGATTGTGGCCGTTGCGAACAAAACGTGATAACCAGTCTTGTAGGCCCCGGATGAAGTTTGAGAAGACAGAAGCCGGAGGTATTGCATCTGGCGGGTGGTAATGGAAGGCTACTGTCCAAGCTTGAGGTTGGAGGAACCAATCCAAGTCCCCGAATCTTCGTGTGAGTTGGACAGAGGCGGGGGGATCGACCATAGTACTCGAGGATGGCGTTGGCAAAAAGTTGAAAGATGGGTAGGTCAGACTTGCAGCCAACGCCGAGTCAAGCAGTGCCGAATCCGGCACAAGCTCGACGTGACTGGCACTGCCTTCATCGGCATTGAAGTCAATGGGAGCCCATACATCATCGAAGCCGACGACCGGAGTAGTCTCGATGGGGGCAGGGTCAGACTGCGGGCCTTGACGTCTTGGTCGAGGATATGTGCAGACCATGTCCCTATCTAGACAGCGCGAGCATGATGGGAGTTTCTTGTCACATCGACGCTTGGTCTCGACGCACGCGAAGCAGGACGTTTGTTTAGATCGCCGACCCATGGCGAATATTCGAGGCGATAACGGCGGAGAGAGTGATCATGTTCCCCTTCAAACTGAGGTCATGCGGAGGATGGATCTGGTAGATTTTGGGAGGTGCTGCGGAATTGGGTCGGAGGTTAAAGGGATACGCGTTTTAGGTTCAAGTAGTGTCATTGCATCTCCGCAAGCGCTCCGCCAACTCCGCCAGTGCCGTTTCAAGCAGTTTAGCGGGCAGGACTATACCAAGGGTGACAATGTTAGCAATTGTAGACTGACAAGTTGCTGTGAATACTAAATGTGCTTTAAAGAAGCGAAAAACGGGACGTTGATCTCTGAGGGGTTGTTCGTTGTTCGTCTTCTCGCAGACATTCTCACCCTGCATTCCGTCCGTCATAGTGAACTCGCACATCATGACTGCTGAACAATGGAACCCTGCAGTAGATCTGCCAGATCTGCGTGGCAAGGTTGCTGTCGTGACGGGAGCTGGGTAGGTTTGAGCGTTGTACGGCGTAGGGCTTTAACTGATGCACTCTTTCGATAGGACTGGAATCGGATTCGCAACTGTCAAGCAACTTGCTCGGAAGGGAGCCAAGGTGTACTTGACTACTCGCAATAAATCGAAGGCCCTACAAGCAAAGGAGACATTGAATAAAGAACCTGATGTTGATCCGGAAAATGTTCAATGCTTGACGCTGGATCTGTTCGACCCAGCAAGCATTACTTCAGCCGCCAATGAGTTGAAGAGAAGGGAGACAAAAGTTGACATTCTAAGTATGACTCGGGCCCTGACCTTGATAGCTGCCATCATGACTAACAGACCCCCAGTTCACAATGCAGCAGCGTCAACAGCATCCCGTGAGTTGGTAGACGGCAAATATGAACCGCACATGGCTGCCAAGTAAGCGGAGCTATCTTCATAGATAGAGCGCATGGCTAATAATTTCCAGTCACATGGGAGTTTTCCTATTCACGAACCGCCTTTTACCACTTCTCAAAAACGCTTCAACTTCCAAGGACGCTGATGTCAGGATCGTCAATGTCAGCTCTACAGCCCAGATCAGCTTGCTACCAAGTCACTTCAAGTTCAACTTTGACTCGACTTTATGCTTCAGAGATCCGGTAACTTCTTACCCATGGCAGTGGAGGTTCTTGGGTAGATTCTTCTTCGCCTTTGACATGATTCGCTATGCCGTGTCAAAAGCAGCTGTGGTGCTGTTCACACAAGATCTTCAGCGCCGGTTCGATGAGCAAGGCCTCGCGATAACATGCATCGCCGTCCATCCTGGAGAGGTCTTCACCGAAGGTTTGGTATCAGTAAACAACTTCCTCGTCGGGGCCATAGCACGCATGGCATTCGTCGGCGCTGAGCAAGGTGCCGCAAACTCTTTGTTTGCAGCTGCTGCGACCGAGGTCAGGGAGAATGCTGAAAAGTACAAGGGGAAGTTTCTGGTTCCGGTTGGGAAATTGGAAGCTCCTAACCCTGTCGCCGAAGATGCTGCACAAGTTAAAGGTCTGTGGGAGAATACGGTTATCGAGCTTAATCAGTGGTTGGGCGAGAAGAAGCTTGCTCCGTTACTAGCCATTTAGGTCCTAATCATAAACCCAGAACAGGAGTTCCCTGTTCCCCTGTTTTTCATATAAATAAATAAGGGGATATGCTTTTCTCGATTTGGCACCTATTTTCGCAGGGGATATAAGAATTGACCGTCTTAAATATATACTTGCCCAGAATAACGCCACTAGCATATCACATGCTAGCCGGGGGCTTTAGCTTACTCGTATCGGCAACGAAGATAAAGATTATAGCTATTTCTCGGGCTTAGATTATTCCCGGCGAGAGGGGGTATAACTAGTGATATATAACTCTAATTATCTTTAATAATATTAGTTAAAGACGAGGAGAACGAGGAAATCACGAACCTGATTAATAGTAATAGCCTCCTCGATAATAAGGACTTTCTTCGCTTTATTATAGAAGAAGATAAAATTATTACTAACTGCTATAGAGCTCTTATCCTATTATGCTTCTTTAGAGCTATTAAGGAAGAGAGACTAAATTAGCAAGGCCGCCGCCGCCGCTATCCCCAGACTAATACTTATCTCGCAAGGGAATATACTTCATGGCTACTTACCGGGGATAATAATATATTTAAGCACCTATTCCGCATACTATAAGCCCTATTTCAAGCCCTCTATCAGTAGTTAAGGATTAATACCTCTACTCATAGTAGTAGGCGCTTATCTCTCGAGTAGAAATTAATAATAATACTATGGATATTCGCGTATAGGGAGCCGCAAAGGAATACTGCCTTTCGCTTCTATATTAGCTAGGGGATTATCTTAAATATCTTCCATAAACTTATTAAACCTCTTCGACGACTATATATACGCTTCGTTATATAGCTAATTAGTTATCTTCTTAATCTATTGACTTTTATAGAGTTATCCCCGAAGATAAGAGCATTTAATAGCGCTATCGGGGCTATAGATAGATATTATATACCTATATTTATGCCTAAGTATTATTAGAGAAGATATTAGTTAAGGAAGAATAATATATTATAGAATATTCTCGCCGTAGTGAACTTCGATAGGTTCTTCGTATATATCCTTATGGGTGCGGAGGGATCTATTAATAACTCTTCTTTTATTTAAATCGCATAGATAATCGACCTATAAATCCCCTTAGTATGCTTCTATATCGCTAATACTGGCTTTAGCTCGAGAAGAGGGATCTTAATTCCCTTCCTAGAGACTAAATATTATCTCTAAGACTAGGAAGCCACTAATCATCGGCTATAGAATAAAAAGGAGATATATAACCTTCGGCATGCCTAGCTTTAAGTTATCGTGGAGTAGATCTTTGGCTGGGTAAAGAGGAAATTTAAGATCGTAAGGCATAGCGCCGCGGAATATAATATTCGAGATTAGCACTGTATCGTGCTTATAGTTACTAGTCTATAGAACTTTATTCTAGGAGACGGCCTAGAGCCTAATGAGCGTAATCTTAATCTTTACTTATACCTAAATAGCTTCCCTCGGGCCTAGGCAGCGATATAGGCGGCTAAGAGGCGTATAGATAACTTCGTGCCCGCATAGTCTTCACTCGGGCTATAGAGAGTAGTTACGGAGGAGGTCTAGAAGGGATATCATAAAGTATTATAAATAAGAAGAGAAAGAGAGGAAAAAAAGGCCAGAAATCGTCGTCGCTATAGAGGAAATAGAGGTAAGGAAGCTATTAAGAGAGAAGGCAGAGGCGAGGGCAAGGGAAATAAAGAAGGTAAAGGAAGTAAAAGAAGAGAGGGGCCATAGCAAGGCTAAAGGCGGTAAGGGGTAATTCAAAGCTATAAAAACGGGTTCGTAATAGCTAAATTAAAGTCAATAATAAGGCACTTAAATCAAGGTCAATTTATATATAAAATGCCCCCTCGGCAAGTAGAATACTATATAGCTTTATCTTCTAAGCATATAAACCACAGGGCCTTATTCTGCCGGGCTAATCTCGCTCTTAACCTAAGCTTCCTTTACCTCCTTTAAACCTAGGGTATTCTATATCACTGCATTCCTTATATCTTTGAATAACCTAATTGCCCTCATGGCATAAGGCATACCATAAGCTTCTCTAATTATCTCTAAGTAATTACTAATAGCTTTCTCTAAGTCTTCCGACCTAGTTAGCCGCGCCGAGAAGGAGAGGCTCTTATAAGAATCATTATATAGTAACTCCTTTAGCTCTTCCGCTATAATCGAGCCTATACTCTTTAACTTCTTCCTCGATGATAATGAAGCCTATGGCTAATACTTAGAGATAGTAATATACTATTACTCTCATAGGCGTAACGAAGAAGGACTTATGCCTCTTATAGGTATTATCACGGCCCAGTACCAGACCAGGCGGTCTAGCAAGGCAGAAAACCACCACGTGACAAAGACGCTACAGAAGTAAGCAGGACCCACTACAACACGAGTAAGCACTTATACGTCGCGCTCACCCGCGACGATATAAGGGCAGTAAGCAAGTAAGCACCACGGGTTCTACCCCGGTAAGCACCCCAAGTATATAGAACGCACTCATTGCACTTTCCTATATAGTAGCTACCTCAGCTATCAATACCACTTAGTTACACTCAACACCTTAAGCACATTACCAGACGTAATATTACACCTCATTCAAGACAACACCAATAATCCTCTGCTAACATAAACCCAATACGACCGGTTTATCCCTTAGATCTAACCATACCATCACACATTAATAGCTCTTATTCAGAGGATTACTCGCGTTACCTTAAACAATATCGAACGCAATAGCTACTCAGGCTACTCCTAGTAATAATCACTAGCAGGCTCCACCTGCCAACCACCTACCTACCCCTATCGCACCAGCTCAGGCCAATCCTAACGGTGACGAAGAAATGGATAGCGACGACGAAGAAGTTAAGCAACTCCATGCCCAGGTCACCACCATAACCACCGAAATAAAGGAACTCAGAGGACTCGTCGACCGCATAGCCGCTACTCAGCAAGCTCAAAACCAGCAGTACCACGAGAACATCTAGAATATCAACGACATAGCAATTACCGCTATAAAGGGCAAAGACATTAGAGAAATCCTAAAGCTAGAACAACCGGAGAAGTTTAACGGCACCGCATACAAGTTGCCAACGTTCCTCACACAACTACGCGCGTTTATACTCTATTACCCTACACAGTTCACCACGGCATCCAGCAAGGTCCAGTACGCCGCTAGGCGTCTTACCAAGCACGCTGCGGCCTAGTTCGAACCCACCATAAAGGAATACCTCATCAAACCGCTCAGCGAACACTCGCCCCGAACCACGAACCTCTACTCCAGCTTTAAAACCTTCAAAGCCGCGCTCCAACAAGCTTTTAGAACGGTAGACGAAAAGGCCCAGGCAGAAAGAGAAATCAAGGCACTCCGACAAACTCGCTCTGCGTCGGAATACGGCACCAAGTACCTCCAGCTCGCCTCGAAGCTCAACTAAGATCAAGAACCCCTAATATCCTTTTTCTTCGATAGGCTTAAGAAGGAGGTATAAGCCAAACTCTACAAGGAAGACCGGCCTAACAACCTCGTCGATTACATTAGCCAAGCAGTCAAGATCGACGACCAACAGTTCTCTTAGAAGAAACTCCAGAACCCCCGCAACGGTAAAGAAAACTATCAGAAACCTCGGTTCGACGCCCACTAAGGACAATACCGACAAAACGACACATCCTACGGAACCCACGCAGGACCCATGAAACTCAGAGCAACCCAACAAAGGAAACGCAACTACCACAGACTCAAATGCCAATATTGCCACAAAATAAACCACATCGAGAAGATCTACTACAAAAAGCAGCATGACATCAAGGAAGGTCGCTACCAACCGCAGCAACAGCGACTCCCCGAAGGCAAGAAACAGGTAAGATTCGCACAAGCTAACAACAAACCACAGACGGCTCTTCATACAACCAAAATACTCGGCATAGCCCGGACTAGGTACGACAACACCGGTCTAGAACCAGGAGAAGTCACCATGCCTCACGACCAGGCATACCTCACTAGGGAACAATTCAGGCACAACAACTACCCCCAGCCAAAGCCACGGTACACTACGACAAAACCCCCGAAGACGGAACGGCTCCACCTCACAGACGGGCCAGGATAGAGACCACTACCCGAACCAACCAGCAAACCCGACAAGGACCTTAACACCAAGACCATCGCAATAACAAGACGAATCAAGCGACACTACAACGATCCTAATTACGGCGCCGGAGCTAAGGCCCAGCGACAACTAGCGACAGCCCAGATCCGCAACCAACGAAACCCCAAGACAGATAACAATCTATAAAAGGAAGAACCCTACCCACAACTCTACGATAAACAAAGAAACCAATACTAGAACACATTACGAGAACGATACATTCAAACCGCGAGGGAACACATAGATACCACCGACATACAAGACATATATATCCGCGCATACCACCGAACAACAATTAAGGACCCACGACATCCAGAAGCACCATTCAACAAACAAGACGATATGCGAACCTACCCAACACATAAGGAACACCCTAGCATTTCATAGATATCATGCCAATACCACTGGTATAAGGAACACAAGGAGGAAAAGCAAGAACAAGACTATTTCCCAATCCCCCTGCCATACTAGCCCAACGACAAACCATACCTATAGTACGAGACAGAGGGATACCAAGTTTTCCACTAATACGACTCCATCGGTATTACAGGAGCACGATACAACAAAGACCTATACCAGGCAACACGCAAGCACGAACAGAATAACTACAAAATCAAGAAATAGCAAGAACAAATCCTCAGAACTACTCAAGGGGAACTAGGAACCTCCGGATCAACGAAACAAGAGGAGGAAAGCGACTCAGACACAAAAGACATCCCCATCCGAGCACATCACGAGGAAACAGCCATAAACTCACCACAGGGACTACGCTACGACACAAAGGACAACAAGCATACCCAATCGATACACCCCCGACACAAAGAAATCTCATAGATCTCCTACAAGGACCACCATTACAGCACACACATCCAGAGCAAACAGGAACACGACTATTTTCCCATACAACTACAGGGACCCAATAACAAG